TTCGCCCCCACCACTTCACTGTGGCCAGGCCCACTCTCCAGATCGCGTACCAGGACCTCTCCTGGACTGCGCTTCGTCGCCTGGCCCACGACTACAGCCACCGTCTCGGAGGCTCCGCCTTCCGGCAGCTTCCACGTCTTCCCTCTGGCCACTCAGACGCCAGGTACCCTTGTCCGTACAGCGAGTCTCAGCCAGTGCTGACTCGCATGGTCGAGCTTTCGGAGGCTCAGGCCACTCAGCACGACCTACTCCTTGAGGCTTACCGCTCCCTTGCCCGCCGCTACGCCGCTTTGGAGGCCCGTCTGGCCGAGGAGGGTGTCACCTCAGTTGACACTATCTCTTGGGACTCAGGCCGTCTCTGCCACGCTAGCCACCTGTCCTCCCACAGCTCCCGCGGCTCTGCTCGCACTCCCAGTGGCCCGCGCTCCCCCAGCTCGCGTGCGCCGTACTCACCAGTGTACTCCCCCTACCCACACCCAGTTAGCCCTTCCTACACCCCCGGACACACCCCAGTTGCTTCCTCCCGCCGTGGCCCACGCTTTATCCGCACTGCGCGGAAGCGTGTTGTTGGTTCTTCCACCGTGTTCCGTTTCCGCCACCCAGCTCCCCCACCGCCAGCGGCCCGTGCTGCTGCCGGCCCTCGACAGGTCCCGCCGGTCCCTTCGCGCCAGCCGATCGACGTTTCTTCAACTGAGGAGCCGACTACAGGAGGCAGCCAGGCCGACGAGGAGTAGAGGAGGCAGTCTTCAGCAGCCGTCCGTGTGATAGGCCCCTTTTGTTCCGCCGCCAACTCTTTTGGAGTCGTGGCGAGGTAGTGCGTGCGTGTGTTTGTTGTGGGTGTTGTTTGGTAGTCTGGTTCTCCTAGGTGGTGTGTGCACAGTCAAGCTCGGCGTAGCTCTGTGACTTGTCCACACCCGTTGTATCAGGTGTTTTTATGATTTGAAAAATCCAGTTTATGCCTAGTGTGTGCTATCTGAGTTGCTATTTGCTTTGCTCCTTGCCCTCCTAAGTGCTTATCTGACTCTTACCCCGCCCCTTTTCTGGGAGTTTAGATGGCTAGCCGCCCCCGTCGTACAGCTCGTGCACCAGCCCGCTTTGGTTTTGAAGATGGTAGAGTTGAAGCAGAAGCAAATCACGAACCAGCTAATGAGCATTCTCACCACAGCAACCGTTCGCACCGTACTGTTCCCCGCAACGCAGAGGTTGAGCAACCTCGCCGCAGTAGCCGCTCGCATCGCACAGTTTCCCGTGATGCAGAGCTGGAGCAGTCTCACCGCTCTCACCGCACTGCCAGTCACAATTCTGGAGAAGAACGCCTCCCTTCCCCACCTCATGTGGAAAACAACATGCAACACATAATGGCAGTTCAGACACAAATCTTGCAAGGACTAACCACAGCCATAGCCAGCTTTCAGCATAATGCGCATGGAAATGGCCACCCTCACGTGGGCAACAATAGATCCAAGCTGACAGACTTTCTGAGGTCACGTCCGCCAGAGTTCTCTCAGACCGTCGAGCCCGTCGAGGCTGACGATTGGTTGAAAGATGTTGATAGAAAACTCAACTTAGTGCAGTGTACTCCGGTTGAGAAGACGCTCTACGCCTCTCACCAGCTAAGAGGACCTGCCGCAGATTGGTGGGAGAATTACCGCAATGCACACCCTGAACCCACTAACATTGCTTGGGATGAGTTCGCTACGGCTTTCCGTGCAGCTCATGTGCCCGAAAGCACTATTGACATGAAGAAAGAAGAATTCAACAGACTTAAACAAGGCAACAACAGTGTCAATGAGTACCTAAGTCAGTTCAACAAGTTGGCTCGGTACGCCCCTGAGGAAGTTGACTTCCTAGCCAAACCGATAGTCCTAGACTCGCAAAGCTTGGACATCATCCTAGGGATGGATTGGTTGGCTAAGCATAAAGGACAGATAGATTGTGCCGAAAAGTCCATCACCTTGCAAGGACCTGGAGGAAAGCAAGTCCGCTTTACCCCTAACACCCCTACCGCAAGTCGGTCTATCCTAACCTGTTTGCAAGTCACCTCCTTGGAGTCGGTGCCCATAGTCTGTGAATATCCCGACGTATTTCCGGAAGAATTAACAAGAATGCCACCAGACCGAGAGATCGAGTTCACCATAGAACTGGCTCCAAGCACAGCTCCAATTGCAAAAAGACCCTACCGAATGGCAGCTAATGAGTTAGCAGAAGTCAAAAGACAAATCGAAGAGTTAGGGAGTAAAGGTTATGTGCGACCTAGCTCATCCCTTTGGGGAGCCCCAGTGCTCCTGGTTAAGAAAAAGGATGGCTCTGAGAGAATGGTAATCGACTATAGAGCCCTGAATGAAGTAACTATAAAGAACAAGTACCCGTTGCCACGGATTGACGACTTATTCGATCAACTTAAAGGAGCAAGAGTCTTCTCAAAAATTGACTTGAGGTCAGGTTACCACCAACTGAAAATCAGATCTGAAGATATTCCGAAGACCGCTTTCTCGACGCGTTATGGTCTATATGAGTTCACAGTAATGTCCTTCGGACTCACCAATGCTCCAGCATTCTTCATGAACTTAATGAACAAAATCTTTATGGAATACCTGGACCAGTTTGTCGTGGTATTCATCGATGACATCCTGATATACTCTAAGAACGAGGAAGAACATGCTGAACACCTGAGGCTGATAATGGAAAAGCTCAGAGATCATCAACTATTCGCTAAATTCTCGAAGTGTGAATTCTGGTTGGACCGAGTAGCATTTCTTGGACACGTGATCTCCTCCAACGGTGTCGAAGTAGATCCCAGCAAGGTTGAAGCTGTACTTGCTTGGAACCCGCCCAAGAATGTGTCAGAGATTCGCAGCTTCCTTGGCTTAGCGGGATATTATCGAAGATTCATTGAAGGATTCTCTAAGCTAGCCAGACCTATGACCGAGCTGTTAAAGAAGGAAAAGAAATTTCAATGGTCTGTAGCCTGTGAAGACAGCTTTCAAGAAATGAAGAAAAGGCTGACCACTGCCCCAGTTCTTACCTTGCCAGATATCCGAAAAGATTTCGAGATCTTCTGTGACGCATCAAGACAAGGCTTAGGATGTGTCCTAATGCAAGAACGTAAGGTTGTGGCCTACGCATCCAGGCAGCTCAGGCCTCATGAAGTCAATTATCCCACCCATGATCTCGAGTTGGCAGCCGTGGTTCATGCTCTTAAGATCTGGAGGCACTATTTAATCGGGAACAGATGTGAAGTATACACCGATCACAAAAGTCTTAAATATATCTTCACACAGACCGAGTTAAATATGAGGCAGAGAAGATGGTTGGAACTAATCAAGGATTACGATCTTGGAATCCACTATCATCCTGGTAAAGCCAACGTGGTCGCTGATGCGCTAAGTCGCAAGGCCTATTGCAATGTAGCTCAAATACGGCCTGACCAAGATCATCTGTGCAGAGAATTGGAGAAGTTAAGGCTGACCGTGGTACAGTCAGGAGTCCCAGCCAGCTTGACAGTACAGCCTACCCTAGAGTCGCAAATCCGGGAGGCCCAGAAAGACGACGAAGGGGTAAAAGAATTAATAAAAAGAATACAGTTGCTTTTAGAAAAGAGTTCAAATAAAATCAATTGCAAAAACAACAGCCTTTCCTTGAAGCCTGCATTAAACACTTATTTCCCCTGGCTTGCTGAGTACTCCCGTACTCACCCTTGCTCTATATAAATATCTCCCCCCCCAGTTGCTGAAGAAGATGAAGCGGATCCTGCTGATGAGGAGTTCTTCCAGGAGCAAGTCGGCTACGATGAGTTTTAGGGTTTCGGCCTAGTTCCCAAGTCGCGCCTGTGATTGTTTGGTCCAAGTCCTGGCTTCCGCTTTCCTTTTGTAATGCAGTTGTGAGCTCGGGATCTGTCCACAGCCCAACATGACTGTACTTCTACTCTATAATAAAGAGGCTTCTGTTGCTGTGATATTCTGTCTCCCTGTGATACCAGCACTGTTTCCTGGGACTGGTATCGATTAACAGGTTAATTTGGAGCGTCACGGGTTAGTTCCGGTCGGGACTAATTCGGGGCGTGACACATAGATAGAAAGAGTTTTCATTCATCATAGGCATCTGCCTTGCCCAATGGCCGAGAGTTCAAGCCACCAAAGTTGACGGGACTATGGGCAAGCGACCAAAATATGACAAAGAGCAATCTTCCATTACATCCGTAGGATGATAGGCTTGCGGCCCCATTTTTTCGCTTATACTTATACTTATTAGCCAAAATTTAAATTTTCAACTTTAAATTTGGAGTTGATTTTGGGGTTTAATCATTGTAGTTTACTTTTCTGCTTTTGCTTTTATATCGTTAAAAACACGTGTATAAAAGTTTTTTCATAAATTATTTTTTATTTGTAAATATGTTGTTTTGCTTATTCCTCTCAACAGCCAAACGATGGGGCTGTTTTCTTCGGTGGTTGATCTACTATCACTATTGAATTCATGGTTTGTCCAAAATACCAGGTTGTATTGGGTTTTTCGCCGGCCCCATGTCTTGTTATTATCATAACATGCATGATTATAAATGGACAATTTGTGACTAATGATATATATGTCAACATTTTAAATTGTTGAAGTCCCGAGAATCTTGTTATGAGATAAGAAATAATCTAGTGCCAAGCAGTTAGCTCGAATTTTATCATACAGAGGTAGAGATAAGGTTCTAAGCTGTAGGTTCAGTACTATACTACAATTATGCATTTTGGGTGCAAACAAATAAGTTAGAGACAAAGCAGGTAACCCAATTTGGGTGCAGGAAAATGAGTAGAGAGGTGACAGAAGAGCTAATCACATGGAAGTATGAGCATCTTTAGGTATTGTCTACTGGGCTGTACACATGCCAATGCTGGAAGCCTGGAATCCTTGAACTACACCATAGACCAGAGGTCGTCCTCTGGTCTTAAAGAAAAACCATTTCGACAACAGAAGTGCAGTTTCAGCCACTATAAATGCTAATGTTCCCAAACCTTTAATTTCTTCATCCATGTACCAATCGATCTACAACAAGCTAAGAGCACATTCAGCTATTAGCTTTCATTTTGCTCTCCTTGCATAGTATTCTCGATCGGCCATGGACAGATCACTGTCTACTTCACTGCTTCTTGTCCTCGCCCATTTCATCATCATCTTTGCTCATCTTTTGGATGCACGAACACTAGGTAGGCAACACAACAGCACGCAGAATTGCATTGGTTCCTTTCAGTCGCATTGATCATGTGAAAAAGAATGGTTTTGATTGCTAATCTGGCCTAGAATAGTGGGTTACTGGGTTTGATAGCTAGTAATTTGTCATTCACCGAGAAAATTTCTTGTGCTGTTTCTGTCCATCCAGGAGACGCATACCAACCACACGTACATGCGTCGTCGTCGTCGGCGGCGGCGTTGCGGCTGTGGAGCAGCGCGGATGCCGACGGTGGCGCGCTGGCGAAGTCGTCGCCGCGCGCTCCGCCGCCGCCGAGGTCATCACATTCGCCAACGCCGCGCTGGCATGACGGAGATGGCGCGCCGGCGAGGTGGCCGGCGGCGGCTGCTCCTCCTCCTCCGTTTGCAGGAGATGTCGTTGGCCAACCTGTGCTCTCCCCAAGCCGCCCGGCAGTGTACACGGCTTAGTTACGAGGTCGTAATCTTTGATCAATTCGAGGTGTTGTACTGCTCGCTGACATATGAGCACGAGATCATATGTTATTAATGTCAATGATTAGTACTCCACTGCACTGAGTCCAACCTTGATGTTTACGAGTCACAGAGTCACTGTTTCATTTCCTGATCACAAGCCCGTTTTCTTATGTTGTGTACTCATGTGTGAACTATCGACCGTTCTTTTGTGTGTGTGCTCGTGTTAACTATCAAAACTGTTACCATAAACTCAATTTTTAACTATCAATCCATTGTCCATCAGGCTTGTTTAGTTCACGAACAGATTTTAGATGTCACATCGAACGTTTGACCAGATGTCGGAAAAGATTTTCGGACACGAATAAAAAAACTAATTTCATAACTCGCCTGGAAACCGCGAAACGAATTTATTAAGCTTAATTAATCTATCATTAGCACTTGTGGTTAGTGTAGCACTTATGACTAATCATGGACTAATTAGTCTCAAAAGATTCGTCTCGCGATTTCCATGTAAACTGTGCGATTAGTTTTTCATTTTATTTATATTTAATGCTTCATGCATGTGTCCAGAGATTCTATGGCTCTATTTTTTTCTTCAAACTTCCAACTTTTCCGTCACATCAAACTTTTCTACACACAAATTTTCAACATTTCCGTCATATCGTTTCAATTTTTTCAAACTTCTAATTTTAACATGGAACTAAACACAAACACAGTTTATGTGATGTTTTGGGGAAAAAAATTGGAAACTAAACAAGGCCAGTACTTCAAAACGAACGTGTGTGTAACGTCACGACAAACATATACTTACAGTTTTGCACTCCTTAATTTCCTAAAAGAAAAAATAAAACACCCTTTCACACCAGCGTGAAAGCGTTGGTTTGACAGTCCGGCCATGTACGCGTTAATAATTGACGATGATATGACCGAAACACGCGGCGGACATACATAGACAAAATTCCGAATTCAATCTAAAACAATATACTTCCTCCATCTCAAAATATTTGATGCCGCTGATTTTTTTTTAAATGTTTGACCGTTCATCTTATTAAAAAAAATAAGTAATTATTAATTCTTTTCCTATCATTTGATTTATTGTTAAATATACCTTAATGTATACATATAGTTTTACATATTTCACAAAAGTTTTGAATAAAACAAACGGTCAAATATGTTTAAAAAAGTTAATGACGTCAAATATTTAGAAAAGGAGCAAGTATGTTCTCAGAAAATCTAAAACGATATATGAATTATGAAACTTCCAGTTCATCTCAATGTCTCGATGCATGTGTGGTCGTCGATATATCCCATGGTTGCCGTCGATTCCTCGTCGTCCGTAACTCCGTATGTCTTGGTGTTTGTGTCCTACGTGCACTGGCAGCGGAGCGATGGTGGTGCGGGTAGAATACGATGTAATTAATTTTGAAAATATATTATTTCTTTCTTCAATTTTTTTTGGTTAGAAATATACCTCGCTATCACATAACCACCGCACGAGAATGACGTGGAGTAACGACGCGCCAAGGTTTTGCAAGGGAATTCCACGAAAGCGTACGGTCTCGCACAACCAATACGCGAGACCGCACGGCATGGCTGAATGATTAATGTTTTAATCACATTGATTAGCAACTAATTAATCTTAGTTATCATTAAATAATAACTAATTATGGTAATTAATCACTAATTTTGGACCAGAGATTCGGTATGCTGTTTCTTATGCGATACTGTTCGGTATTGCTGTTTCGTTATGTCTCGCGCAACGATTATGTGAGGTCGATGTATATTTCTACCAATAAGCTTGCATCCTGAATATTTTTAAGAAAAAACAAATTAACAGTATATTTTGAAATTTATTTCGAATACAATGCACGTCGTCCTACATATACCACAGGAATACGACGTGGAAAAAAATCAAAAATACTTTACAGATCTATCATGCTTTAAGATTGGTGAGGATACATGTACGTGTACGCGTACGTGGCACCCATTTAGCCAGCTAGGTAGGATGGTGCTCCACTTGGTGCGGTTTAGGGCGGAGGCTTCACACCCCGGACTACTTTCGCCGTTCTAAAAAAACATAACCTATAAACGAAATATGATATAATATAATACAATAAATTTAAAAAACATTTAGATAGAAATTCATCCCATTTTAGGTGTTTTTTTATACAGTTCCTGTTCCTTCCGTGTCAAACCATTAACTTGTTTTTCCTTCCGTGTCAAACCATTAACAAATCAATCCGAGCATTTTCTTTCTTTTGATGGATTAATTAGGCAAAAAACCGTTGACTCAGTCATCACACATGCACACCACGCGAGTCCACGACGACCACACGAGCGCCGTACCAAATCCTGCCTATATAACAGAGCTCATGTGGGTGTGGCTAGCTGCAGCCTAGTAGCTTGCATCAGAGTTTCATCTCATCTATCGATCGGCTAATTTCTAGCTTAATTAGCTTGTGATCCCTTTCCTTCCCGCCATGGAGGCCTCGTCGTCTCCTTGCAAGCTTCTTCTTCTTCTTCTTCTTCACGTCGTCCTGCTCGCGTTCGCGCCGCTGCTCCAAGCACGGCCACTCGGTCATCAGGTGGTGGTGGCGCCGCTAATGTTGCCGAGCGACGGCGGCGAGGTCGTCGGAGGTGTCGGGCGGCCGGAGGATCACATCCCACCGTCACCTTTTGCGCCTGGCGGGCCGATCACGCTCGCCGGCGGATGGCTGGTGGGGAGGCCGGTCGGCCCCACTCCGCCGCCTCCTTCGCACCCCGTTGTGCCGACTCCGACGCAGCTCGCCGCCGACGATGACGGCGGATTGCTGAGGAGGCCGGGCGGCCCCACTCCGCCGTCTCCTTGGCACCCCGGTGTGCCGACGCAGACGCAGCTCGCCGGCGGCGACGACGGCGGCGTCGGCGGATTGCTTGGGAGGCCGTGGCCTAAGGCTCCCCCGCCGCCTGACCCGAACACGCCGCCGGTGCAGCCGCTCTCCAACTACGGCGTGTCGCGGTGTTGCGGCCGGCCAGGACCCGCTCCGCCGACGCCGGCCGGAAACCCGCCGGGTGAAACCAACGTCGCCGTCGCGCTCGCGCCGCCGATCCCCTGCGCCGCTTTTCTCCGGGTGATCCGCGACGCCGTGCAGTACATGGTCGGCGGCGGACTCGGAGCCTGAAACGATCGAGAGCTCGACACCGAGAAGAAGAGATATATACGAGAGAGTTGTACTTGTACGTGTATATTTGTACGCATACAGAAGCAAAGCTATAGGCAAGTATGTATACGGTATAACGACTGTATAATCGTATATATTGTATAGTCGTTTTTTATTTAATTATAAGTGTCGTAGCAGAGTCTAGGTAAGTAGACACCAGCTGAGCAAAAAGACTAGCTGGCTAGTAGCTGCACGTTGTTGCGTCGCTCAACTACGAAAAATGGAGATGCAGTAATTATAATCTCTCTGTGGCCAATTGGCGCAGTATATGCATATATATATACACGGTGGTGAATCCGGCTGAAATCAGAGGATAGATTTAAAGTCTAAATCTTTTTTGTTAAAAAAAAAGATAAAAATACATCCTCTGTATCAACCCACCATATTTGGTTTGCAATTGAAATTTCAAACATTAGTTACAGGGGACAACACCGGATACTTTTTGCACCACGGATCCATAAAGCATCAAGAAAAAAATAGATGAAATCCCACGTGTTGCTGCTAGAATTTTATATGATATTAGTAGAAATAACATGTGACAGTGGATTTTAAAGTCTTCGGCAAACATTCCTTTGTTGTTTTTATGCCATTCAAATAGTTATGAAAAAAATTAAAAAAATTGAGAAGATGTACTAATATGTGATATATCACCCCCACAAACATGCAATTTAAAAATCCAACTAATACAAGTTAAAAATCCAACTAATACAAGTTAAAAAAAAATTAAACTACAACTAGTTAACATATATTCACAGCCAATTTTTTTTTAAAGTTACAGACCTTACATGCTTGTGAAGTAATCTATCACGTACTACACTAAATAGGGAGTAGTAATCCATCTTATCATTTTTTTCTAGAATATATAGTTTCCCTTAACTACACTAGATAAACTTTATAGATATATATATGATGTTCCACGGTACCAGAGACACTGACAAATGAGCGTTGGATGGTTTGACATCATCGATACATCGAAAATAAAAATATTAAATAGATACAGAATATATATATTTGATTTAGAATAAAACTAAAACGATTTACATATTTACAGTATAAAACGAAGAAAGGTGTGCCGCACATCAGGATCATATCCCCTGGCAGGTGCAAGGTGTGCACTTGATCAGGCCACTAAAATAAGAGACATCCAAATCTATTAGTCCTACAATTTATCTAAGCTAATTAACAAGGAAAAGAAAAAAAAGAAAAGAAAAACAGCACAAGTATGAAAGGCCCAGGCAGCCAAACACACTAGCTTGGCCGGGCTCCATGTTGCCATCACGGTTTCTCTCCGTGAACAAAAGTTGTTTTGACTCACGCGGTGGCTGTTGTCTGTCGCGGTTGTTTCTTGTCTGTTGAATGGTCAACTTTGACCGCAACCTTAGCTCGTAGCGAAAATCTTCGCCCGGTAGCGGTTCCAACAGCTAGCTATTTGCAGCAACTAACTGACGATTTACGCACATTTATACACTGCTATTCGTGTTCTTTTCAAGTTAAATATTGGCTCTGTTTGGGGAACTTGTTCCAGCTGCAGCTTTTCCTAAAAGCTGCTTCTGCTAGAAGCTGCCCCAAACAGTATACAGCTTCTGAGAATCTGTAGGTACAGGTTCTGAAAAATGAACTAAGAAGCCAGAAGCTGGGTTTCAGAGCTTTTCCAGATTCTCAGAAGCTGGCTACCAAACAACTGCTTCTCAGAATATAAAACTCCACCAAACAGACCCATTAACTAGTATATCGAAGATTCTTTTTGAAAATGCTACTATCCTATTCGAACGGGATAATATCTCAGGGGTATCACCTGATATATAAAAATCAATAGATATGTATCACTTAGAGATATTATCCAGTTTAAATAGTTATAAACCGATATCTAACACGTATCATATCAGATAATAGCTTAGAAATATCATATCGTTCGAATGGGATATTGTCATGTAGCATTTTATGGATTAAGAAGAAACAGTTGACTTGTCAACTTTCTAGCCGTCATAAGCAATTCTAATCTTTGCCTATATATATAAGAGCTCACGCGGCCATGTCGTTCTTCGCGCGCGCTGCCGCTTGCAACATCTCGAATTCTCGATCGATCGATTCATTGTTTTTCCTTCCCGCCATGGCGGGTTCGTCTTCGTCTTCTCCAAAGCTGCTGCTGCTGCTTCTTCTTCCCGTCGTCCTCCTCGCTCCGCTGCTCGAAGCACGGCGTCTGCACGTGCTGCCGCCGCTGATGTTGCCGAGCGACGGCGTGGTCGTCGGAGGCGCCGTCGAGGTCGAGGGCGGCAGGTCGGGTAACGCCCCGCCATCGCCTCGTCCGCATGGCCGGGTGACGCCGCTCGCCGACGGCGGCGGCGGCGGCGTGCTGAGGAGGCCGCCAGGACGCGGTCCGCCGCCACCTGGTCCAGGTGGCCATGTGGGGCCGCTCTCCGGCGGCGTGTCGTCGTCGGCCGGGAGATCGTCGACGAGGCCGCTGATGATCTCCGACGACGACGGCGGCGTGTCGGGGAGGCAGTGGCCTGCTCCCCCGCCGCCGCCTGACCCGAACACCCCGGTGCAGCCGCTCTCCGGCGGCGACGGGCGGCCGCGGCAGCTCGCGCCGCCGCCGCCGATGGGAAACCCGCCGCCCAACACCCACCGTCGACGCACCGATCGTCCTCCCCGCCGGCTGCCGGCGGACGACGACATGGCCGGTTTGCTACTCCGCGTGATCCGCGACGCCGTCGAATACATGGTCGGCGAACTCGGAGCCTGATATCCATCGAGACCGAGAAGAAGATACGAGAGATCCGAGAATTATACGTATATTTGATTTGTACGCATGCTGAAGAAAGGCAAGTACTTACGTATTAATTAACGTATACCAACTGTATAGTCGTATACTCGTATGTATGTATTATTGTATTTGTATTAGTATACAGTGTACAGTTGTAAGCCTAGCTAAGAGGCTAGCTGAGTAAACGAGATCAGACAGTTGCATGCATGTTGGTAGCTACTCAAGCTGTTGAATTCGTCGGTCTGGTTGTGGTTCACACTGAAGTTTGAAAGTTTGGTTAAAATTGATACGATGTGATAGAAAAGTTACGTGTGTATGAAAGGTTTGATGTGATGAAAAGTTTGAAGTTTAGAAAAAAAAACTTTGAAACTAAACTGGGCCTCTGACGTGTATATTTGGACCCTAATTAATTAACAGTGAGTTTTTTTTTCAATTACATGGTAGAAACATGCGCACACGCAACTACTCACACTCCGTGAATGTGTCAGCTAACATATGCTCTAATAAACGGAAATTAATGATATATCACCGATCTCATTGATTTTCTATTGAAACTCCACCAGTATATACGTAATATTCATGAACAACAGGACACTTGTAATGGAGTAGTATTTAAATTATAATTACACAGCATCATAATCTTTGCAAAAAACTGTTTCTGATCTATCTGCCCAGGCCATTCAAGATAACAAGACCGGACAGTTTCTAGCCGGAAAAAGCTCTAACCGATACAAAACAGGATCCAGGGGGGAAAAATAAAATCATAAACAGCAATCATGCGCTGTAGTGTACTTATATAATGAACAAAGCACATAAATTAACCAAACCCTGTAACAACGAAAGGCTAACAACCATAAGAATTCAGAAGGGAGTGGTTCACAAAAATCTGCCGGTATGGTATAGCTCTAGCACTACTAATTATTTTTAACTAATTATCCGTGCTTGCCATTAGCATATTACCGGTTATATATAAATTATAAGTATATACTAGTAATAATTAATCAACAAATTCAACTCAAGACGAGTTTTGAAAAACTGTCCTAGTACTCCATGTCATACGACGATCCTTGACTTTTAATTGACGACGTGTCTTTGTTTAGAGTCCACTAATTAATTATAGCTTGCAGCCAAAAGTTAGGCCTACCAATCGAACATCCGAGTTCATAATATATGATAATGAGTACAGACAAACGCATCTTAGATAAGCTGAGAGCGCCCATTAACTGTAATCTATCAATATTTGTCCATCATTTGATATAGTTAACGTCTGTCCATGTTAAATATTGGTCAGAAAAAGAAGACCTTCGAGAAGATAGATTTGATTACTACTGACACGCTTGGTGCTGATATATGAGTTAGAACCGCCCCATAAAAGTTTCGGCCTAATTAAGATAAGTTTACTTGGTGAAAAATCAAGGTTTTCAATGGACCTTTAATTTTATCCCAGGCCCCAGACCTGGCCTAGCTTTGCTCGGGGCCTGGATTTGCCCCCGCTACCGGAATTCATCTACCGACAAAACATCAGACAGGAGCAACTAACATACTCATGATATGATGGATACACACTTCGGAGAAGTCGAAAGTTTGAATGTCATCAGTGGAACAAGCCAAACCAAACTCGAATTAATTCATATACGGCCAAATATCCATCAAATAGTCGCTCAAGTTTTGATGGTTGTTGATATAGCGTTTGATAATCATCATTTTTAGCAAGCAGTTTTGCGCTACGGCAGACTCCTCCACCAGCTCATCGTACACACAACACACATGCAGCTAGTCATCGTCGTCAAGGACGCTCCGGCGCCTCTGAATCTGCGAAATAAAACATAGTAAAAAGAATCAGTTGTGTATTGGATGCTTTCCCTTCACAGACTAGCCTATATTAGCATCATTTTCTCTTCCTTTTTTTGATGATGTACAATCAGTGACTTGGAAAGAATCACAACAAACGAGAATCTTTACAAACCAAACTAAATTAGTTGTAGTGAAGCTACCCAAAACCACTATTGGAAGCATGGTAGGTTTGTTTAGTTAAGTGCACATGGTATGTCAAAAACTGATAGAAGTTTCCACGTTTATCATACCGTAACTTTCGTCTGTTTGCTAGTGTGGGTATTGATTTGCTCCAGAAGTGAGATAAGCCTTTCTTCAGACACCTGAAAGCCAGAAAATTCCCCCCAAAGAAAGTCAGCTTTCAGATAAACCTTTCTTCTGAGTCTCTTGACACAGTAAAGATTATGCTACCCGCCTCTATTACCTTTTCAGATATTCCACCGGACTGAGCAGCTCTCAGAAGAACATCCTCTACCCCTCTTGCTTTATCAGGTTTGACCAAAGCTATGCGAGAGACTGAAAACTCCAGAGAGTAAAAAATTACATCATTATAGAACCTTTTCATCACCTTAACCTCAAGTGAGATTAACGGTATGACTTTTTCATAGAATCATCCTTATTCAGAGCATTTGATTCTGATAAGCAAACTATGCATTATGTATCCATGCAATTGTTTGCCAGTTTGGTCCAGCCTACTGCATAACATATGTTCGGAGCTGTGGAGATTTTGAAGTGTGCACACAGTGCCCCTTCCTAGTTCATACGGTTTTCATCCTTCAGAAGCCTCATCTTTTTGTTCCATTGGTTTGTAATAATGAAGCCTGCCTAGTGCTTTGCTATTGTTCAGTTCCTTACGATACAGTATACACTGGCTTGTGAATATATCCAATGATACTGTTTGAGCATTGGTATCGTATGGATAGCTCATTAGTTTTAGTTTTGAACGGAAGTGAAATAACTGAAGTGATGAAGTTTATTGTGATGAACAGCAAGTTAAAGGTTGGGCATTATAGTGGTATAAATTAAATGTGTAGGGTGGTAAAAAAATTCACATGCTTACGTTAGTGATTAAATACTTCAGTTTTGCTCTTCTTGTTTGACTGTGTCTTATGATGCTATCTTGATCGATCAGAACCATTATATGTTCACCGGATGAGCAGCTACCTTTTTGGAAGGGAACGGAAAGTTGCAGACATCCCCATAGATCATCCCTCCTGCAGTAAACAACATGCAGTTCTTCAATATAGGTAAGCATAGCAATCTTATTGTTATTTGCCTTTATTAGCATATTGCCTGTGCGTGGCAACAAGATTTTAAATAAAGAAAATTATCATTAACTCATTATTATTATCATTTTCTGTGTATATCGCCCCTTAATTTATGTATATATTTGTTACTGACATGTGCACTGTCCTTTTCTTCTCACAAAAAGTAGGAAGTTGGTGGTAGGGGTGGTTGACATGTAGGCCCCCCTTTTCTATTAAAAAAACTAGGGAGCTGGTGGTGGGGTGGTGGTAGATTCACCACTCACCATCACCACTACTCCCTTTTACAAGAAGTATATATTGAGAAATAATATTGTGATTCACCCATCTCTTTGCCTTTTCAGACTTGTAGAGAAGGAGCAGCCAGATGGCATGATGTCAAAGCAAGTGAGGTACTCCTTGCTAGTAATGCATATAATTTTTTTTAATAACAAGTACTAATAATTCATGATTATCTTAGTTCTGTATGCTACTCTAGATTATGATGTTTTTTGCTGCTTTGTTTGATAGGCCTTATCTGATGGATCTTGGTAGTACCAATGGAACTTTCATTAATGTAAGTCCTCCAATGATACTTTTACTACTAATCAGATACACTAGTCGCGTTTCTAATAATATTTTCTACCCAGTCAATATTTATGTTTTGATTTTTTTTTCAGGAGAATCGTATTGAGCCCAGCCGTTACTATGAACTCTTTGAAAAGGATACCATTAAGTTTGGCAATAGTAGGTATGATCATTGAAATTGAAGAGTAACTTTCCCCCTCTACTGTTTAAGATAACTTTGCTTGCTTCATGCCCTCATCATATCAATTAAAGAAAGCATCACTTTTTTGTTTATTTATTGCTCAATGTATATGCATCTTTGGTATGTGATGACTTAAATTAACAACTTATTATGAAAGTGACAGTCTGGCTTTTGGCATTCTCTTTAGTTAGAGATTTTATTTTGATTTGTGGTACTCTTGGGATAAACATTTTTTCTCCAATAATCTAAGTAATATCTTTGTAAACTACGCCTAATTGTTTTTCTCAATACAATTTCCAAATGAATCTTTAGGTGGTATATTAATGTTTATAAATATCAAGGAATCTCAAAATATCTACATTATGGAAACATAATTTTCCTTTATGGAGCCTTGACTTGCAAGCTCAATCATGTATAAATGTATAACATATATTCAGAGCTGTGGAGATTTTGAAGTTTGCCCATAGTGCCCCTTCCTAGTTCATACGGTTTTCATCCTTCAGAAGCCTCATCTTTTTGTTCTTAGATGGATGGTACTATTTCTAATCCAGATTTAGGGTCCTTTTGAGTCCAGTTGCCCAAAAGTAAATAATATAATGATGTGATGCCTCCGCTTCTATATGCCTCCTTACTAACCCCGTTCATCTAAAATATGACAAATGTTTTATTGTATTTTTGCAGCCGGGAGTATGTTTTGCTTCATGAAAATTCGAAAGAATGAGGATTGAAATTGCTGGAAACTTTGCTACATTGTTACTTGAGATTTTGACGTCCCTCTGCTGCTTGTTGTTTGTACTATGGTTTCAGTCGCCTGAATATTTTTCAAGAATGCCTGAAGGAACATAGCAGAGGCCGGTAATCTTCCGTTACATTTATAGGATTCTAGAGCCTAGACATGTTTTATCCAGTGGTTGATCTAGTACCGCTACATACTTCATGGTTTTGTCAAATACCATGTCATATTGTCACTGCCATATCATAATTATAATCTGCAATTTGTGACTATTGAAATGTTGGCACTCTAATCTATTTGAAATCTGCGAATCTTGACACGAGATGAGCAATAATCTAGATATAGCGAAGCACTGAAGCAGTTCTGTTGGTTCCAATTTTATCATTTAGAGGTAGCCAGCTGGTAGGGATATTCTAGCTTCATTACTATTCTACAGTTAAACAGGCATCGAGAAACAAAGCAGGTAGCCACTTTGGGCCCCCCAAAAAAAATGAGAGCATCTTTAGTTGTGTCCACTCGGCTGTGCACATGGTAGATTGCTAATGTATCTCTGTAAGTGAAGGCAGTGTTTGGCTAACGAGAAAAGGAAATGATTTTCCACCCACCAAAAGATATTTTTAAATCCTAACCGTTTATTTTCCCTCTTCCATTTAATCCTAACTCTTCATTCATTTTCCAATCTCAATCCCAATCCCACCTCCCATTTCCCATTATCCAAACACACCCGAAAAGTTTTCCTCACAATGCTTCTAGGGTGAGCCACGTCATCAAGTGAAATATGACCGTTGGATTCATAGGTGAAACCAATATCAACCGTTGGATGAAATGTGATGGTGAAGAAAGGATATAGAAATGGAAAGGAGGAATCCGGAACCTTCATGTGGCTTAGGTTGGAAGGATTCATCGGATATTGAGAGAAATGAGAAAAACAAAAGCGGCTAAAAAGATAAAGATGTAATGACCCTTTGCAATATTTATTTTACAAAGTAAAAATTTATTTACAAATAGATCCATAGATTCACACATATTTTTAAATGAGTGTTTAACAAATAAACATATTTTAATTTACCTAAATTCACATAAGTATAATACATATAAAATGTATCTAGACTTACATAAGTATAAGTATAGTAAAAATAAGTATGTTCTAATAAATATGCTACTCCCTCCGTATTTGAATGTACGACGTCGTTGACTTTTTGACTAACGTTTAACCATTTATTTTATTCAAAATATTTATGTAATTATCATTTATTTTATTATAACTTGATTTGTCATCAAATATTATTTAAGCATGATATAAATATTTTTATATTTGCACAAAAAATTTAAATAAGACGAATAGTTAAACGTTGATAAAAAGTCAACGACGTCACACGTTAAAATATGGAGGGAGTATAAGACATGATGGAAAACTGACAAATTTCAATGGAATACGATCTACATGTTAAATTAAAGGTCATTTTGAATGTATAATCCTTGCAATAATTTAATGGAGAATAAATATATTAATCCAGTAATCCTACAAAAATCATGCATTTTCTTTAGAGGCTCTTTATCACTAATGCATGGGCTACAAAGAGGGGCTAAAGAGTTTGTGTCAACAAGAGGTATAGGGTGTACTCTTTTACCATAATGGAATAGAACATATATATGCATTTTTTTTAAGAAAAATGCTACATCTGACTTTCTTTTCTTTAAATACCATTTATGTATTTTTCATCCATGGGTTCCTCGAATCATTAAACTTTCAACCTTCCATATTCCATCTGATTCAGCCTTATAAAATAACACGCCTAAACCTAAACAGAACATGTTTACACCTATGAGGAAATTCGACCAAGGGTGGCTACTCATGGCCATGTAAGTAACTTAGCATAATTTATCGCAAACTTTATATTACCATGTCAGTCTATTACATAGTTTTAAGTGAGTAGTTGTTACAAATTTAAACTAATTACTACTCTCTCCATCTACTTTTGATAGTCATATTTCATCTTGACACACAGACCAAGAATAAGTAATTGTACCTATCATCCATTTAAATATACTACTAGTTATTTCTCGTAAAGAAGCGATTTATGAATATTTACATTTCTCGATGTCCATGTAGCTAATCTTATGTGGAAGAATAGAGAGTCATGCATTAAATTCTAGAAAATCATTAAGAGGATAGGTTGTTGGATTGAAATATGCTTATCAAAAATAAATTTTTCAGATTTAGAAAATATGCCTATCAAAAATAGATGGAGGGAGTACAATATAACGTGTAAAAGTATTTAATAAAGATGGTGGTTACAGTCGCCTGAAAACGCGACTTAATAGACTAGTAATGCTTGAAAGTTGAAACCTCGACAGCTCGTCAACTACACAAGGTCGGTGGTCTCTAGCCGCTATATATACTGCCAGTGTTCCCAAAACCTTTCTTCATCCGTGTACCGATTGATCTACAGCAAGCTTCAGCTTGCTCCTGCATCTATCGATCATGGATAGATCACCGTCTCATAGTCTTCTCCTTCTCCTCTGCTTCTTCCTCCTCTTCGCTCAGCTGTTGCAAGCACGGATGCTAGGTAGGCAACATAGACGCTTTCACTCGCATGGATCACGTGAAAATAGAGAGAAACAGAGAAGAGTGCATTTCATTTGGTAGCTAATTTGTCATTCACTGACGAAACGCATCACGCATTGACCATGTGAAAATATTATAACAATGGTTTGATAGCTAATTTGTCTGTCCTACACTGACGAAATTTCTCCTGCTGTTTTCTCGCTTCAGGAGAAGCCTACTACTCCTATCCACATCGGATCCGGATTAAATGCAGTAGTAGTATGGACTGCAACTTAAGCAGTTGTAGCTGCTACGTTGGATCTAAATCCAACGGTAAGGATTAGGCCGGTTACTGTAGCAAAAGTACCACGGCGTAAAATATTGTTCAGGGTACTGTAGCACGAGTACTGTAGCAGTTGATCTGGACTGTTGATCACAAAAATGAATGGCTGAAAATGCATGCAGTCCCTAAGACTGCACCCGATCTCAATCCATCCACATCTTCGTGCGTCGGCGTGGCGGAGCAGCGTCAGCACGGATGACGGTGGTGCGCTGGTGAGGCCGTCCTCGTACACCCCGCCGTCGCCGAAGCACCCGGGGCCGCCTCACCAGCACGGCGGAGGTGGTGCGCCGCCCGCCGATGTGGTGGCCGGTTGCTGTTGCTCCGCCGTTGGCAGGACACAATGGCCGGCCAACCAAGCCCGGCAGTGTACACGGCTTAGTTATTCGTAACCTTGATGTTACAAGGTAGCCAACTCTGCCATTCGTGTGATTGGAAGCCCGTTTGTTTGGGGAATTTGAGAGCCATCCGGTGAGAATATGGAAAAACTAAATCCTACGTTTCTTAAAATCTAAGTAAAAGGTTAGACTATTTGAAGACCCGAAGATTCTAGGAAAAAACTGTAGTTACAATAAGCTCCCTTAAACATGATTTGATTATGTTGTCAATTATCAGGCTGGTTTGGTTTGTGTCATAAATTGATTTTACCAATTTTCGTCCATGTCTAATTTTAGCAAGTTTTAGCATGGCTGATCTTAGTAAGGTAAAGTTGTGTTTGAATTAAAGCTAAAATAGCCTAAATTAACTATTGAAGTGACCTATTTTTCTTAGGTTTGCTAAAATTTGGCTTCAAACCAAATAGACACTAAGTACTACTCCCTCCGTTCCAGAATATAAGTATTTTTAGAGTTGGACACGGTTATTAAGAAAGTAGATAGAATTTAATAGAGGAAGGTTGTGATTGGACAAGAAGTGGATGTAGGTGAAAAATTTAAATGGTGGAGGATTGTGATTGATTGAGAAGAGAATGTTGGTGTAGAAATTGTTATATTTTGGGATAAATTCTAGAGGCTAAAAGTTGTTATATTTTGGGACGAATGCAGTATTAAAATTATCAAATATTGGTAATATCAATATAGACCACAGACCAAACCAGCCCATCAAAACTTCAGCTCCTCACCATCAGGCTTCCAAGACCTGCTAGTGACTGGTTGTAGCAAGTTCCAAGGACTCCAAAGCCTTCCAGTCCCTCCGGAGCTGTTCAAGGGCTCCGGAGGAAGCCAGGGCTTCAAGAGCCCAAGCCCTGGGCGTAAGATGGGTGATCGGATGTGTAGTGGGACGCCATAAATACGCACTACGCATCTGCCAACCACCTCTGACGCCGCTGACGAGGGCAGACAACGCACGCTATTACCCAGAGCACGCCTTTACTCGGGTAATAGCAGGCGCCTTTGGGAATCGACGTCGCTCCCTTAATGGGCGCAACCCTCCTGTCACCGAGGAGCTGACCAAAGAGCCCTAAAGATGGCCCAGCAGCCAGCCGCCTAGATAATTCAGCGATTAAGGTAGCGATGTAAATTCCCCTTGTACATCCTTGTATAAATATGTAAACATTGCTCACAGCTAGGCATATTGAATACAGAAGTGATACACATACGCTTGTTGGATTTTGTCCCAACATTTGGCGCAATCCATGGGGACGAAAGAAGCAAGCAGGCAAAGAATTTTCATAAGAAAAAAATCAAACGACTTATGATATGAAACAAAGGTAGTAAAAAGAAGGTTTTTCGGACAGGACACGGGGTCGGGAGATTTGTTTGATGTTGTTCTTCTCGATGTCGATCATCCTATGATAGAACGTAGCCATATGCGCATTGGACTCGCGGAAAGCGGGCTTATCCTCCTCTCTGAAGCAGTGAGCCTCATCGCTCATGTCCAAGCTGTCCGCGAGAAGCTCCTCCCATGTCATGGGCCTCTTTATCAGGCAAGGATGAGGTAGTGTGCGAGGGCCGAGGGATCCTCCTCCAACTCCTAGGCGTCCTCTTCCTCCTTGTCGGGGCCTCGCCTGACCCCGCCGCCGGCACGGAGGTGGAGGAATTAGCCCCCGATTGCGACAGCAGCGGCGACAGAGAGTCCAGCCACTCCTACGCTGTGATCGGGACGGTGGATCCCTGATGAAACTGGAACATCGAGTAGGTCGCAAATTTCTCTTCTATGGTGGGCCTTCTCATCTCCGTCTGCCGAATCGCAATCTAGGGTTAGGATTCTTCCTCCTCGTGAACACGATGGGAGAAAGAAAGTGGTTAGGGCTGAGGAGAGGTGACACGACGCGTCCCTGATATATATATGATGCAGCACCTACCGGAGCCATCCACCCTAGGAGAATGACCGGAGGCATCTACTGATTTAGGCTCCGGAGCTAGCTCGGGAGCCAACACGGGTCCTCGGAGCCACCTAGGGGCTCCGGGGTCATCCAAGGCCTTCGGAGCCATCTAATGGCTCCGGGGCCGATCAAGGCCACCAGAGCTGTTCGTGGGCTCCGGAGCCATCCAAGGACTCCAAAGCCTTCCAGGCCCTCCGAAGCTGTTCAAGGGCTCCAGAGGAAGCTAGGGCTTGAAGAGCCCTGGGCATAAGATGGGTGATCGGATGCGTAGTGGCACGCCATAAATACGCACTACGCATCTGCCAACCACCTCTGACGCCGCTGACGAGGGCAGACAGCGCACGCTATTACCCAGAGCACGCCTTTACCCGAGTAATAGCAGGCGCCTTCGGGAATCGGCGCCGCTCCCTTAATGGGCGCAGCCCTCCTGTCACCGAGGAGCTGACCAAAGAGCCCTAAAGCTGGCCCGCTAGCCAGCCGCCTAGATAAATCAGCGATTAGGGTAGCGATGTAATTTCCCCTTGTACATCCTTGTATAAATATGTAAACATTGCTCACAGCTGGGCATATTGAATACAGAAGTGATACACATACGCTTGTTGAATTTTGTCCCAACATTTGGCGTCATCCGTGGGGACGAAAGAAGCAAGCAGGCAAGGAATTTTCATTAAGAAAAAAAAAATCAAACGGCTTATGATATGAAACAAAGGTAGCAAAAAGAAGGTGTATCAGACAGGACGCGGGGTCAGGAGATTTGTTTGATGTTGTTCTTCTCGATGTCGATCATCCTCTGATAGAACCTGGCCATATGCGCCTTGGACTCACGGAAAGCGGGCTTATCCTCCTCTCTGAAGCAGTGAGCCTCATCGCTCATGTCCAAGCTGTCCGCGAGAAGCTCCTCCCATGTCATGGGCCTCTTTCTCAGGAAAGGATGAGGTAGTGTGCGAGGGATCCTCCTCCATCTCCCAGATGTTCGCTTCCTCCTCGCTGGGCCTTGCCTGACCCCGCCGCCGGTAGGTAGGTGGAGGAATTAGCCCCCGATTGCGACGGCGGCGGCGGAAGAGAGTCCAGCCACTCCCGCGCGGTTATTAGGACGGTGGATCCCTAACGAACCTAGAACATAGAGTAGGTCACCAATTTCTCTTCTGTGGTGGGCCTTCTCATCTCCGTCTTCCGAATCGCAATCTAGGGATAGGATTCTTCCTCCTCGTGAACACGATATATATATATATATATATATATATATATATATATATATATATATATATATATATGTATATGTATATATGTATGTATGTATGTATGTATGTTGGGGGAATGGCTCCGGGTAGCGGAGCCATTCCCCGTCTTGTGATGCAGCACCTACCGGAGCCATCCACCCCAGGAGAATGACCGGAGGCATCTACTGATTTAGGCTCCGGAGCTAACTAGAGGCGCTGGAGCCAACCCGAGCCTTCGGAGCCACCTAGGTGCTCCGGGGTCATCCAAGGCCTTCGGAGCCATCTAAGGGCTCTGGGGCCGATCAAGGCCTCCGGAGCTGTCCGTGGGCTCCAGAGCCATCCAAGGACTCCAAAGCCTTCTAGACCCTCTGGAGCTGTTCAAGGGCTCCGAAGGAAGCCAGGGCTTCAAGAGCCTTGGACGTAAGATGGGTGATCGGATCGTAGTGGGACGCCATAAATACGCACTACACATCTGCCAACCACCTCTGACGCTGTTGATGAGGGCATACCGCGCACGCTATTACCCAGATACCCGGGTAATAGCCGGCGCCCTCGGGAATCGGCGCCACTCCCTTAATGGGCGCAGCCCTCCTATCACCGAGGAGCTGACCGAAGAGCCCTAAAGCTGGCCCACCAGCCAACCGGCTAGATAAATTAGCTATTAGGGTAGCGATGTAATTTCCCCTTGTACATCCTTGTATAAATATGTAAACATTGCTCACATTTGGGCATAATGAATACAGAAGTGATACACATACGCTTGTTGGATTTTGTCCCAACATTTGGCGCCGTCTGTGGGGACGAAAGAAGCAAGCAGGCAAAGAATTTTCATTAAGAAAAAAAAATCAAACTACTTATGATATGAAACAATGGTAGTAAAAAGAAGGGGTTTAATTAACACACGGTGTATCGGACAGGACGCGGGGTCGGGAGATTTGTTTGATGTTGTTCTTCTCGATGTCGATCATCCTCCGATAGAACCTGGCCATATGCACCTTGCACTCGCGGAAAGCGGGCTTATCCTCCTCACTAAAGCAGTGAGCCTCATCGCTTATGTCCAAGCTGTCCGCGAGAAGCTCCTCCCATGTCATGAGCCTCTTTCTCAGGCAAGGATGAGGTAGCGTGCGAGGGATCCTTCTCCATCTCCCAGGCGTCCTCTTCCTCCTCACTGGGGCCTCGCCTGACCCCGCCGTGGGCAGGGAGGTGGCAGAATTAGCCCCCGATTGCGACGGCGGCGGTGGCAGAGAGTCCAGCCACTCCCGCGCGGTGATCAGGACGGTGGATCCCTAACGAACCTGGAACATCGAGTAGGTCGCCAATTTCTCTTCTATGGTGGGCCTTCTCATCTCCGCTTGCCGAATCACAATCTAGGGTTAGGATTCTTCCTCCTCGCGAACTCGATGGGTGAAAGAAAGTGGTCAGGACTGAGGAGAGGCGACGTGGCGCGTCCCTGATATATATATGTTGGGGGAATGGCTCCGGGTAGCGGAGCCAGCCTCCGTCATGTGATGCAACACCTACCGGAGCCATTCACCCCAGGAGAATGACCGGAGGCATCTACTGATTTAGGCTCCGGAGCTAACCAGAGGCTCCGGAGCCAACCTAGGCCTTCGGAGCCACCTAGGGGCTCCGGGGTCATCCAAGGCCTTCGAGGTCATCTAAGTGCTCTGGGGCCGATCAAGGCCTCCGAAGCTGTCCGTGGGCTCCGAAGCCATCCATAGCAACCCGTTTGCGGTGCGTGCAGGAGAATCGTCGAATGCTCGTATGGTTTGATGGATTCGTACTCTCATTTCACGCCTAACTGTTAGCCAAAATATCAGCTATTCACGGCCAGATCGATCGAGTGAGCGCAGAAGGCTGTGTTTAGTTGCTGAAAAAAGTTGGAAGTTTGGGGAAAGTTAAAAGTTTGAAAAAAAAGTTAAAAGTTTATGTGTGTAGGAAAGTTTTGGATATGATATAATGTGATGAAAAGTTGGAAGTTTAGGGTAGCTGAGGTGAACTAAACACGGCCGAAGTTTGACACTCCGGCCATGCACGCAGCCTGATGCACGCGCTGGTTTAATTACCTGGTTTTCGCTGTTGCTTCCTGGAGTAGCTGTTGAACAGGTGCTAGCGAAAAATTGCGTCGGGTAGCTTTCGCTGTTTAATTACCTGGTTTTCGCTGTTTGCGTCGTGTTCCTTTCCAGTTTAAACATTAATTAGGCTGCGTTCGATATCAGGAGTTCCTAACTCCCCCTGTTTTTCGCGTGTACGCTTTTGAAACTAATAAACGGTGTGTTTTTAAAAGGTTTATATATGAAAGTTGCTTAAAAAAATTATATTATCTTTTTTTAAAAAAATAGCTAATAATTAATTAATCACGCGTTAATAGACCATTGTGTTTTCCGTGCGTGAATGATGGGTTCCCAACCCCCACCACCCAACACAGCCAAGTCATTAGCCGTCCTATTTTTAATACTCCATGATTTAGGAAGAAATAAACCGTTGACTGCCACTCGATCGCCATACACACGTACAAGAGCAGATGCAATAATCCTAGTCAGCAGGCTCCAAAAGCTATTATATTGTTTTTTTTTATTAGATGGAGGGAAGAGAATCGATGAGAGAGAACGGAGCGGGAGCTAATCTGGCGCCCGGCGATAGCACGCGTTTTCACGCGCACTCACGATTAAAAACATATTTTGTGGGTCCCACGGTCACTTATCCGATCCCGTGCGCATCCTCCTTCGTTCCACCCTCCGGTGCTTCGTCGACCGACGGACGGCGTCTTCCACTAGCGTAATCTGAGTATTTCTCGTCGGCGAGCGAGAAAACTCCATCGCCCCCACAGATCACGTAGGCCCATCCTCCATCCTGAACCACGCACGCTCATCCTCGATTCCTCATCCTCGTCCAGGAAGTCTTGGCGGCGGAATTGCAGCCGACCAGAAGCATCTCATACGGGCGTCGGATCCTGTACGCGGCGAGGTACGTAGCGATGACTGTGCTCGTCTTGTGCTTTTGCATAGGCTGATCAATCATCATTGATGAAGACCCGGGAGGATCGATGTACAGATGGAGCTAATCCATCGCGAGCTTGCTCCGCTATGATCAACCACCGGCTAGCTGCAAAACCGTTTTCCTTTGCTGTTTTTTCCCTTCCTTGCATTTTCATGCTTCCATGTGAATGGAGATGGATAACAGGATAAACAATCTATCATTATCTTTTAGTTGCTATTTCTGTTGTCGATTTTAGGCAGGGTGACTGTTGCGATTTCGCCTAGGAAGAAGAAGAGAGGGGAAACTCGAAGAAGAAAGATGAGCCAGCATGCACAAAACCAAACGTTTTCTTTTTCTTTGATGTGTTCACCTTCATAGTTCATATCACAGCAATGGCCACAAAAATAGGATCCACTTATGATCATACATGTCAACACGTGCATACATAATTAATTGTTTGATATAAAATTATACTGTAGTCAGCTCCCTCCGTCTCACAATATAAGTATTTTGAGTTTTTCCTTGTAACATTTGACCACTCGTCTTATTCAATTTTTTTTTGCAAATATAAAAAATGAAAAGTTGTGCTTAAAATACTGTAGATAATAAAGTAAGTCACAAATAAAATAAATAATAATTTTAAAATTTTTTTAATAAGACGAGTGGTCAAACGTTGCAAACAGAAACTCAAAATCCCTTATATTATGGGAGGGAGTACAAAATATGGTTAGAGCCGGCAGTCGGCGGCACTATTGACCTTGCTCACGTAATCCTGCCCATATAAAGAGCTCACGTGGCCACACATAGTTCGTCGATCGATCGGCTCCCTTCCCGCCATGGAGGGTTCGTCTCGATCTCCTTGCGTTTGCATGCTGCTGCTGCTGCTTCACGTCGTCCTGCTCGCTCCGGTGCTCCAAGCACGGCTGCTCGGACTCGGACATGGACGTCGTCTGCTGGTGGCGCCGCCGCTAATAATGCTGCCGGTCTCGATTCTATTGCCGAAGCGGAGACGGCAGGCGTAACAAAAAAAAAAAAAAACGCAATGCACTTGTCGTGTCCGACCTTTTTTTTTTCGGAAAAAGTATACTTCGACTCCTTCAACTATGACCCGAGTATGATTCATGACCTCCAATCACAAAACCTTGACTCCTCCAACTATCAAAACCAATACAAACTATATCCCTCGGTGGTTTTGGAAGCGGTTTTCGCTGACGTGGCACTTACGTGGCAGTGTTGACCCGGTCTTCGTCCCACGTGTCGCTTATGTGGCATTAGAGTAAAAAAATATTGTGGGACCAACATGTCATTCAAAAAAAAAAGTAGGACCCACCGACATATGGGCCCCACATAATTATCCTCAGCTCTCCCCCTCTTTCTTTCATCTTTTCTACTCCCCTCACCTTCCTCCATCACTAGAGACGGGGCGGCGGCGACGGTGACAGTGACGGCGCACGGGGGAGGAGCTCGCCGGCCGTCCACGCGAGGGGGAGGAGCCCGCTAGCCATCCCGCGAGCTCGCCGCCCATCCGCGCACAGAGGGAGGAGGTCGCCGGCCGTCCGCGCGCTGGGGAGGAGGTCGCCGGCGTCCGCGCGGGAGGAGGTCTCCGGCCGTCCGCGCACAGAGGGAGGAGGTCGCCGGCCGTCCGTGCGCGGGCGAGGAGGTCGCCGGCGTCCGCGCGCCGGGGAGGAGGTCGCCGGCGTCCGCGCGCCGGGGAGGAGGTCGCCAGCCGTCCACGCGCGGGGGAGGAGGTCGCCGGCCGTCCGCGCGCGGGGGACGAGGTCGCCGGCGTCCGCGCACGGGGGAGGAGCTCGCCGCCGGCCGTCCGCGCGCTGGGGACGAGGTCGCCGGAATCCGCGCACGGGGGAGGAGCTCGCGGACCATCCGTGTGCCACCGCGACGCCATCGTCACCTCTCCCCGGCCGGCCATTGTCACCTCTCCTCTTCGTGCTTCGTTGCTTCGGCCAGCCGCCTCTAGTGATGGAAGGTGAGAGGCGTGGAAAAGATGAAAGAGAGAGGGGGAGAGATGACGATGACATGTGGGGCCCACGTGTCGGTGGGTCCCACATTTTTTTTTGAATGACATGTCGGTCCCACAATTTTTTTAACTCTAATGCCACGTAAGCGACACGTCGACGACACGTGGGACGAAGAGCGGGTCAACACTGCCACGTAGGCGCCACATCAGCCAAAACCGCTTCCAAAACCACCAAAGGATATAGTTTGCATCGGTTTTGATAGTTGGAGGAGTCTATATACCTGGTTTTGTGGTTCGAGGATATGAATCATACTAGTTGAGGGAGTCAAAGTATAATTTTTCCTTTTTTTTTCCCACCGGGCCACGGCGCCCATGGGCCAGGCCCAGGCGAGGCATCCTATTCCGTGACGTGGATAAATTTCTTTTTCGTCTCCCCTGATCGCTTCTTTCCCCATCGAGAGTTCGCCAGAAGGAAGAAACCTAACCCTAAGATTGCGATTCGGCGGCAGCGACGAGGCGCGGGCGGAGATGAGGAGGCCCACCATAGAAGAGAAACTGGCGACCTACTCCATGTTCCAGGTTCGTCAGGGATCCACCGTCCCGATCACCGCGCGGGAGTGGCTGGACTCTGTGATGGCTGGAGTTGGCTCGATCTCTCTGGCGGTGCGGGGTGCTGGCTCGATCTCGGCGGCGGCAGGAGCGGGAGATGGGGCTTGCTCGAGCTCAGTGGCGGTGGCGGGGACTGGCTCGATCTCGGCGGCGGGAGCGGCAGATGGGCCTTCCTCAAGCTCAGTGGCGGTGGCGGGGACTGGCTTGATCTCGGCGGCGGGAGCGGCAGATGGGGCTTGCTCGAGCTCAGTGGCGGTGGCGGGGACTGGCTCGATCTCGGCGGCGCGAGCGGGAGATGGGCCTTTCTCGAGCTCAGTGGCGGGGGCGGGGGCTGGCTCCATCTCGGCGACGGCGGGAGCGGGACATGGAGCTGGGTCGAGCTCAGTTGCGGCGGCGGGGTCAGGCGAAGCCCCGGCGAGGAGGAAGAGGACGCCTGGGAGATGGAGGAGGATCCCTCGCACGCTACCTCATCCTTGCCTGAGAAAGAGGCCCATGACATGGGAGGAGCTTCTCGCGGACAGCTTGGACATGAGCGATGAGGTTCACTGCTTCAGAGAGGAGGATAAGCCCGCTTTCCGCAAGTCCAAGGCGCAGATGGCCAGGTTCTATCAGAGGATGATCGACATCGAGAATAACAAGATCAAACAAATCTTCCGACCCCGCGTCCCATCCGATACACAGTATGTTAAACCCCTTCTTCTTTCTTTCTTTTTTTTTTCTCATGGGTATGTCAACTACACCACTAAGAAAACATCATACAAATAGAACTTTCCTTTCGTAGATCCTAACACACGTGAAATAGCACACCCATTATATTCCTCATTACAAAGTTCATGTGAAAAACTATCATTGTTTTTATCACTTATAAAACAGTAGTGACCGCAAACAAGACATCGATAATTCAGCTTAGAATAGATCTCCTAAGGACACAAGGAAGAGGTGGAGACAGAAAAGCCAAAGTTACTTAATTTGGAGACGAATTCTGTACAATCCTTTAAATGGGTAAACTGACATTACAACTTGCAACCATTTTAATTAATAAGAAATGTGGATTTTTTAAGCTGCATTTCCATTCTTGGTCACTGAAACAGTTAAATTATAAAACTTCAGTTGATTCATTTAGCTAGTGGTAAGAGATAGAACATATTAACAATTGAACTCTTGTATATGCAACGGATGTAATAGTTGAAGTACGCTATCGTCATAGTATTTTAACTCATCAGATGCATCATGTTCCTGTGCAAACATAGGTGGCCATCTTTTATACAGTCTAGCAACTCTTTGGTACTTGGCCAACCTTCACAAAAGGTGCTTGCATTTATAAATTGAACAATCAAAGGTCAGATATGCGACAGCAACAGTGAATCTGAAAGAATGTCAGGTACTAACTTCTAGAGTTAGTTTGACCATCTCAGCATCCCAGGATCAAATAAAAATTTTCAGGATGGTTTAAGAATGTGCAGTCCAACTTAGGAGTTGCCATTAGTCAATTCTCTGAGTTTGAAAACAACACTAAAATCTGAGCTAATTTTAAAGGAATGATCCATCCTGTGTGCTGCACTAATATTCAATAATTATGTTCCAATCTGGATGGCAGACACAATCTGGATGGGCTTGACCAAGGTTTCATGCATGTTGGGTAATGAATATTCCCGGGGACAAAATTAAGCTTGGGTATGGGTATTCACTATTGATGCCCGCCATGCCCAATTGTCATCCCTATCTATATTCCTGACAAAATTAAGTGAATACCTAAAATTGGTTTTGTCCAACACACTGTTGAATCTATTACTCTTTTGAATATATTGCAGCGAGCAACATTTGACCGCAGAAGAGATGGAGGCAGAGTTCGCTGGCAAGAAAGTTTCTTCCCAAGCTTGTCACTTTGCCAATTTAGCAATTAACCACTACAACAATATTGAGGAGAACATTGTAATAGCCCTTTTCCTTGTTTGCTTTCCATGACATCATGAGTCTCAATGTTGTAAACTAATAAACCTTTCTATTTTTGTCTGTTCAGGTTAAGATTGAGCTTTGTACTGTTCTTTTATCAAATTGTTTTCATGAGATCTGTGGGTCCACATACGCCCATGTCAACTTTACTGCCAGGGCTGAGGATGATGATCAGGCTAAGAAGAGACTATACTTTGCAGAGCTCAAGTTGAATCCGGATCTTCTGGCAAAGAGGAGGGAACGCTTTGTAGAGTTGAGCCTTGATCCAAATATTGTTGGATGTGCTGATGATATCGAGCCCATGTGTGTCGTCTCTATACACAATCTTCAGGGTTCTTGTTTTGGTATGTTTATTACTATCGACTTATTTACTGTATTCTCAATTTACTGTGTTCTGATTAATATGCTTGCTTATTTGTAATTACTGTAAGGTCTCTATTTATGTTTGTAAGTGTGATAGTAGGACCTCAGCGATTTATTCGATATGTTGATGTTGCTTTTGTAGGTGGATGCCATGAGATCAACAGGAGAATTGATTATGTAATGATCAGGAATCAGGACTACGAGCGTTGTCACGCATGTAGCGATCGTATCAAGCATCCATACGGGACAGAATTTATTGCAGGGCATGATAGTTCCAAGATTCCGTATTACACTGCAGGCTGATGTAATAATAATATGATTAGAGCTATGACTTGGAGTATTGTTAGAATTTAGACTCTTTATTTATGCTTTGACATCTATGTGCGCGAGTGATCTCTTCTAATGCGCAAATATTACCTGATGAAGTAGCCAGGATCTTTAATGAAGCCTCTATGGTATGTCTACTGTAACCAGGATCATTAATGCTCTATTCAGTTGCTCCCTCTGGGCTAGTATTATTAGTGGATGAAGAAAATTGTCGTTTGAACGTTCTTTTTAGTTATGGGACGAGATATAAATCATAACTACATGCTTTAAATCATCTATAAATCATCTATAGTGAATTCAATACTCTCTCCATCCCAAAAATATAAGGGCATGTACAAAGGTAAAGTCTAATATGGTCTCTTAGTTAGTACATAATATTATTTAGAGACTATACTACTGCCATAGTTGAGACACCAATCACTCTTTAATAATTAATGCACCAAAATATTATTTTACTACTACCTTTCATTCCTTTTCTCCACTCTCATAACAAAATTTCTTTTAATAAATGTTTAGAGTCAACTCTGAGCTGTTATATGCATAGCAATCATACTTTTCTTTTCTCTCCTCTCTCTTCCACATTTTTCTTCTCTCCTCTCTCTTTCACATCATCAAATTTACTTGTATGGCAATAAAGAGAGACTGCTATTATACACGGTTGTACATGCTCTAAGGCACAACCACTCCTGACACAAAGAGCAAGAAAGAATTTAATCACCTCCTTAATTGAATCACATCCGTACATGCAAGTAATGTGATTGGGAGACTTAATGGTACATGAATTAAAATAAACCAAATTTAAAGAACCAAGAGATGATAATTAATGTATGCATGCACGCCTTATATTATGAGACATAATAAAAAAGTGGTTGTGTCTTATATTTTAGGATGGAGGGAGTAGCTAATACATACAATAGTTACCTATAAACATATACTACACTATTGATACATGGTCCCACTTGCCCTACACATATTGCATCTTGCAGTCCGTGCTACGGCTGGCTATAAATCTGTAGCCCGCTGCTTGTTTCTCTCCCCGATATGTGTTTATAGCTGACTTATAGTCTGGTATCACTGGTGGAGAAGTAGTTTTTACTCCCGGTTCGTAACCCCCTTTAGTCTCGGTTTTCCAACCGGGACTACGAATCCGGGACTAAAGATCGCTATCTTTAGTCCCGGGTGAAATAACCGGGAGTAAAAATCTATCTTTAGTCCTGGTTGGTGTTACCAATCGGGACTAAAGATGGAGCATGCCAACCGGGACTAAAGATAGAGCCAGGCTGATCCCTGGCTGCTCCTTTATTATATTCTTTTCTTCATTGTTTTTAATATATTGATTTCACTCCATCCCCATCCCCAAAATCCCAAATCAATTATCACCTCCAAATCCTTAAATCGATCATCTCCAAATACATCACAAAATCTTTAAAAAAAAATTACATCACAACTTCTACAAAATTCATCACAAATACATCACATATTCATATCACACACAAATCAAATACATCTCAAATCCGGATCATAAATTCTCAAAAAAAAAAAACAAAACAAGCCGCCATCTTCCACCTGCCGCCCAGCCGCCACCTTCCGCCTTCTGCCAGCCAGTGCCGCGCGCCGGCCGCTGCTTGTTAATGGCTGCAATAATGGCTGCAATCTAGGAAACTAAATAATGGCTGCAATGCAGCATGCAAGACACTCATCTATAGATAGCCAAAAGGCCTGAGGCCCGACGCTTGGCCCACGGCACAGCATTTTGGCCCGGCCCAAGCACGGCACGACCCAAACGGGGTCGGGCCCGTGCCGGTCCGGCCCAATCACCGGGCGTGCCTGGCCCCTCCACCGGCACGTTGGGCCGGGGCGGCACGGCACGATGGGCCGCAGGCCAGGCCCGACACATAAACAACAGGGAGTAAAAATAGACATTATATGCCACGGTCGAAGAATAGGGACGTCAAATAGACTTATTTAACTATATATATGTCAGCCCAACGAGGAGGGAGGGACAATAGATTTATTTTAGCTATATATATGTCACAACCCAAAGAGAAGGGAGGGAAAATAGACTTATTTTAAAAAAGGCACGGTGGGCCACCCGTGCCTTCGGGCTAGCCCGGCATGGCCCGACTACTAGTGGGCCGTGCCTGGGCCAGAGGTGCAGCCCATAGGCCGGCACAGCCCGACTACTAGCAAGTGCCGACCAGGTCGTGCCTGTGCCGAACCGTGCCGGGCGGGCCTTTTGGCCATCTATACAGTCATGCCGTGCAGGGCTTGCGAGCGTGACATCATGTATGACGAGGAGTCTTTGACCAGCGACTCCCTGGATGAGGCCAACGAGAGAGTGCATGTGGTCCTGGACTCCATGGACGCTGCCGGCGATGAAGTGCTCGTGGTCGTCGACTCCATGGACGATAGAGCCGGCGAGGAAGTGTTTGTGAACAACGAGGGTGATGGTTGACCACCGACTCCATGGACAACACGGCCGGCGAGGAATTGCACGTACGTGATCGCCGACTCCATGGACGATGGCTGGCTAGTGACTCCATCAAAAGTGCAATCTCCATTTGCATCAAATTTTGAACAAGTAAGCACTTAAGAACATTTTAGGGATGCTATCACTGGTGGAGAAGTGCTTTTTACTCCCGGTTCGTAACCCCCTGTAGTCACGGTTTTCCAACCGGAAAACCGGGACTACGAATCCGGGACTAAAGATCGCTATCTTTAGTCCCGGTTCAAATAACCGGGATTAAAGATGAATCCGGGATTAAAGATCCCTATTTTTAGTCCTAGTTAGTGTTACCAACCGGGAGTAAAGAGAGAATAGTGGTAGTCCCAGTTAGTCCCCTTTTCTTTTTTTTTATTTTCTCCCAAATCAAGTGGGAAGCATATCCCCAAATCAAAGTAACATCCTAAATCCACATCATAAATAAAGTAACATCACAAATCTTAAAGTTACATATACACACAAATCAAATACATCACAAATCCTAAAAAGTTACACACAAATCAAATATATCACAGGTCATCTCAGATCCATCCAATAAATCACAAAATTATACATGTGAATCACAAATTAAAAAAAACAGAAAACAACGCCGTTGCCGCTGTCCGCCACGGCCGCCGGCCCGCCGCCGCCTGCCACGGTCGCCGGCCCGCCACCGGGCACGGCCCCGCCGGCCGCCGCCTGCCGGATGGGAAGGGGAGGATGGGCAGGAAAGGGGAGAGGAGAAGGTAGAGGAGAGGGGAGGGGATGAGGAAGGGGAAGAGGTGGAGGGGAAGGGAGGATGGGCAGGAAGGGAAGGGGAGAGGGGAGGGGATCGGATGAGGAAGGGGAGGAGGTGGAGGGGATGAGGTTGTAGGAAACGGAGGAAGAAGGGAAAGAAGGGGAGAGATTCGATCTGTGGAGGAGAGGATAAGGGATAGGGATTATATTGGGAACACCAACCGGATCCGGTTGGTGACACCAACCGGATCCGGTTGATCCTCGGCCCCCTGACATCAATCTGACAGGGGATGAACCGGGACTAAAGATGATTTTTAGTTCGGTTGGTAAGAATGCCTCTGTGGTTTTCAACCGGGACTAAAGATTATTTTTAGTCCCGGTTCTTTTTGGAACCAGGATTATTGTGGTTTTGGGTCGATCCAGCAAAGATTATTTCTCCACCAGTGTATTCTTGCTTCTAACACGTACGTGTAGGTTCTCCTTCATTTGCACGCAAAGAATATTTCTCAGATTTCCTAGTAAATAGAACCAATTTTCATCAACAAAAACAACATCAAACATGCAGGCCCTTAAACCCTGGATCAAGCATGGATACGCACCATTGCAACCTTGCTTTCTTGTTTGCATCTATCAAGTGTGACTTTATAGCATTCGAATGACGTCTACTGAGACCTTCTCGTATTATTCTTTGCACCTTGTACTTACTCAAATGTAATGTAATGGAGCACAAAGATCTCAAAGCGTTGTTTGTTCCTTGAAAGGAATGCCATCCAGGGTTTTATATTTTGGAAAGCAAGAAAATTTCGGTGGGCACCGAAATTTCGAAAAAAAAATTTGGGATATTTGCGAACGAATGTTTTGAAATTTAAATATATTTTTACTGAATTTGAACAAATTATAACCAAATTCATAAATATTTGAAAAAATTCAAAAATTTCACTCGAAATATTTGCTTGCCGGTGGGAAGGCGAAATTCCCGAAATTTCCATCCCTGATGCCATCTAGCACAAATAAATCTACTTGAACTCGCTTGCGGCCAAAGTTGCATATTCTATTATTAACATTAACATCAACCGTAATGCATTGATCAAAATAACTTTTACCTTGCTTCTAAATACGTTGAACTGATCGAATGCGAACGTTGAATAACTCTGCAACTTCCCTCGTCACATGGCGCTCCAGTTTTCCATTTGTGCTTCTTAATGCATTAGATATTTGTTTTCGTGTTGTACTTGGCACATCTTTCGTGCCTGCGAGAAAAAAAGGCTTTTTGACATTTCGTTTATGAGTGCATTATTCCTTATTCCAGGAGTCAAGATACAAGGTGGCCAAACGGGCCGGGCCAAACAGGCGGCCCGGGGCACGGCCGAACCTGTAGCAGGCACGGCCCGGCACGGCCTGCTACAGTAACGGGCCGTGCCGGCACGGCACGAGTAGCCGTGCCGTGCTTGGGCCGCTGGCCGAGCCCGCGGGCCGGCACGGCACGGCACGGCTACTGTAGCGGCACGGCACGGCACGGCCCGTTTCGCCGGCGGCCCGTCAGGCGCGGACAGGGCGGGCGGCGGTCGAATGGGAAGGCGCCACGTGGCACTAACGGCTATTTGACCGTTCAAATTTGAAAATAACCGTTGGGAGGCTAAAAAATTCATAAAAATTTCGAAAAAATTCCAAAAAATCTCAAATTTCGCCCTATAAATAGGGCATGAACCCCAGCCATTTCTCCTCATCCCACACTCCTCATCTTGTGCTCTCAAGTGTTTTAAGTGCTCTCTTTGTTCTCAAGTGTGCATTTTTTTTGATTTTGACAAAATTTGCTCAAATTTTGTCAAAAATCAAAATTAGTTTCGTAGTTCAACAGTTTGATCGCAGAGGTTTGAAGAGCTCGCGGTTGGAAAGATGTAAGTAATATTCAAATTTGTGTATTATTTGTATTGTGTTTGTGAATTCAATAAATATTCGAAAATTTGTTTATGTCGGTTTAAATTTTCAGAATGGATCCGAACTTTCCATACCAGTCGCCGTCGTTCACCTTGGGTGATTTCGACCCCAACTACATGTCGGGGTTTGACGGTACCTCCGGATCGGCTCCAACTCCACCATCTGTGGAGGAGGTACCGGTTCATACGGCTGTCGTTGAGGAGGTACCGGTTCAGGCGGCGACAGCTTCGGAAGGATTTTCCGGAACCGCGAGCGGAAGTGTTTCGACACACACCGGCTCGAAGAGATCGAGAACCTCCGTTGTGTGGCAAAACTTCGACGAGATAAAGGAAACATGCCCCGACGGAAGGGAGGTATCGAAAGCCCGTTGTAGAATATGTAGGCAAATTTTATCTGCTCGTTCTTCTGGTGGTACAGGTCACCTCAAGCGCCATGCGGAGTCGTGTGCCAAGAAGCAAGGAATACAACTCCGGCAGCAGCAACTTATGGTAAACCCAGACGGTACGGTACGCAGTTGGGAGTACGATCCCATGGTTGCTCGGGAATCTCTTGTCCGGTTAATCGCCAGGCAAGATTTACCCCTGAACTTTGGGGAGTCCCCTGCTTTTGAACATTACATTCAGCAATCTCATAACCCTAGGTTTAAAGCTGTGAGTAGGCAAACATCAACTAGAGATTTAGAGAATGTTTATCACAAGGAAGCAACTGCACTTAAGGAACTGTTTAGTACATGTACTTTCTCTGTTAGTGTTACTTCAGATATATGGAGTAGTAGAGCTAGAGAGGATTATCTTAGCGTAGTTGTTCATTTTGTTGATGATGATTGGCAATTACAAAAGAGAGTTTTAGGGCTTAGGTTAATAGATGTCTCACATACAGGAGAAAACATAGCTGAAAGAATTAGGGAAGTAATTAATGAATTTAATCTTGCTGATAAAATATTTGCTGTCACCCTAGATAATGCATCTGCTAATTCTAGGGCTATTGAAATATTGCAACCTTTATTTTGTGTGTATGCTCAATCTTTTCTACTCCATCAGCGTTGTGCATGTCATATAATTAATTTGATTGTTAAGACTGGCATGAAGAGGGTAGGTGACCACATCGATGCTGTTCGTCAAGCAATCGCGTGGTTAACTGCTTCTAACCCGCGGATTGCTGTATGGAAGAGGTTTTGCAATGCGGCCGGTGTGAAAGCTCGTAAGTTTGCCACCGATGCAGAGCATCGCGTGGAATGCAACGTATTTAATGTTAAAAGTTGTTTTACCTTATAGTAGTTTACTTTCTGATTTTGTTCAGTCACGTGGTGGCCCAAGAAACAGTGACGGGTCTTCAGTACTGAACGAGCATGTTTGGGCAATTGTCCAAAAATTTCACCAATTTCTAGAAACTTTTTATGATTGTACTCTAACTTTGTCACAAGTTTATTATCCAACTGCTAATATAATTTTGCACAACCTTCTTGAAATTGCTACTTTATTTAAAGAATACGAAAATGATGACGTTCTAACTGAACCTGTCTTTCACATGAAACAAAAATATTTGAAATATTGGAAAAATATACCTATGTTATATGCTTTTGCTTTTGTTTTAGATCCTAGGTGTAAATTAAGGGGATTGTCTGCTATTTTATCACTTGTTGGAGATACTATAGGTGTAGATTATAGTTCTTTTTATACTGAGGTTAGACGTAAATTATATGAGGTTTTTGGAAGATATGAAGTAAAGTTTCAGGAAGTTCGCCAGCAGAGACCCCCTCCTATCCCCACTACAGGTAAGAAGAAGATACAGTGGGGTAGGATTTGGGGTGGATCGTCTTCAATCCAAGGTGGTGGCAGTTCGTCGGCTACAAGTGGAGACGCCTCTTCGCATGTTGTGGCCGAAGAGTTGTCCGGTTATTTGGACAACGACGCCATCCACCACGAAGCACAAGATTTCAACGTCCTCGGGTGGTGGAATGACCACAAGATAACATATCCTGTGCTTTCAAAACTAGCACGGGATGTGTTGACGGTGCCCGTGTCGACGGTGTCCTCCGAATCGGCCTTCAGTCTATGCGGCCGAATCATCGAAGACCGGAGGATGACTCTGCGCAGCGACCACGTCGAAATGCTACTAAGCGTTAAAGACTGGGAGCTTGCTCGACAACATGCCCAATACACTGCGGACAACCAAGAATTGGCCGCCCAGTTCGAGCAACTCTACCTGGATCCAGACCAACCCCAGTAGAATTTTGTTAGAAATAGTTCTGACCTTTGAGCTGTACTCTTTTCTTTGTCATGGTTTTCTCATTTTCCACTATGAGTTTTTACATGACAAAGTTTTTAACGAGGCAGCATGTATCATTGTATCCTGTAATGATATAAACATCAATAAAGGTCATTACTATTTTTAACAAATTCTTTTGCAATATTTTCGCAAGTGTGGATTTATCTTTAAATTATTTCAAAATAATGAATCACAATCTATATTTTTAAATTTTTCAACACAACAAAAAATACCATTTTTTCTTTTTTTTAACATTAGCAAATCATTACTTTTTTAAAAAACTTTTATTTCCATTTTTTAAATACCATTTTTTCATTTTTTAACATTAGTAAATCATTACTTTTTTTAAACATTTTGGATCCATTTTTAATTTTTTTTTTCCTTATACATTTCCTTTGCTTTTTTTTTTAAAAAAAAACACTGTGCACTGGCGGCCTGGCGGCCTGGCGGCCAGTGCAGCTCAGCTGCCGGCCTGCCTTCACGGGCCGCCGTGCCCCGAACGGCCCGTGGGCCGCAGGCGTGCCGTGCCGGCACGGGCACGGCCCGGCCATCCACGGGCCGTGCTTGGGCCGGCGGCTCGGCACGTGGGCCGGCACGGCACGGCCCGTTTCATCAGCCGTGCCTAACGGGCCGTGCCGAAACGGGCCGTGCCGGACCCGTGCCCGTGCCGGGCCGGGCCGTGCCGCCCGTTTGGACACCTATACAGATACACTTAACATAGTGGATAATTAAATAACATAGTTTAGTAATATGCCCATGCTAAACGCTACGGTGAAATTCTATGTCTTTAATTAAACTTTAAAATGGATTCGGATGCCGTGAATAGAAAAGTTATATAGAGTACAAGAAAATATATTTTCCGCATGTCACGAATACAGATGTTCCATTCCATTTTTTGTTATGTGTGCTTTTTGAACAAAATTAATACACCCTGTTCAATTCACAAATGGTAATCATCATCGATCAATAACACCCCTAACCGTACGAATTTTCTCGTTTTTTTTGGAATTTTTTCGGCTCCTCAAAAAGGTTAAGCGTGGTTGGCTATTTTTGCAAAAAGCTCCTCGTGTTTGTAGAAAATATCGCACAGATGCTTAAATCGACTAACAACCCACCATATTTTATCCGGAAAACCCCTTATCTTCTAGTGAAATACAATGTGAAGAAGAGAAAATTCCGCTGTAAACATGGTAAGGGGTATTTATGCAAAACATCCATCCCCTACGGCCTACCCCCAATCCCCAAACCATCCCCCGATCCGGAACCAGATCCCTCTACGTTAGAGGGACGTCCTCGCACGATCGCCGTTCATCCCGCATCCAACGCTGGCATCGGCTCTGCGGCCGTCCGTCGTCCTCCCGCTGCCGCCGCCGCGCGCGTCGGAGCCGACGCCATCGCCGGCGCTACCCGCCACCCCCCCGGCCCCGCCGGCCGTGAGCGACGCGGGCGTCGTAGCCGGTGCCTGCGCTGGCGCTCCCTCCCCCCTTGTTCTCCTCCCACTCCGCCCGCCGGCAACGGGGCTTGAGGTGCCGGCGAATCCGACCGCGCACGGGCACCCCGCCACCGCCGCCCGTCAGATCCAGCGGGGAGAGGCTGGCCGTGCCCCCCGCGCCTCCACGAGGGGATCTGCGTTGAGGGGGAGGACGAGGAGGCTGCGGAGAAGGAAGACGAGGACGAGGAAGGCCCCAGCGCTCGTCGTCGTGCCTGCCTTCTTCGCTCGTTGTCGCTCTTCTGCCCCATCTCCGGCTACCGCCGTCGCCGTCGCCCCCCGGGTCCCCGGCATCGTCGCCGCTGTCGTGGCCTCCTTGAGCCCTTGACGAGGAGGGGCCCTTCACCTGAGGCCGCGACGAGAACAAGGACGAGGACGATACGCCGCTTCGGCTGATGGGTCGTGGCGGAGCCAGATCCAAACGCCTTCGACTCCTCCACCCTTGCCGTCGGCTTCCAGGCGGCGGGCAGCAGCAGGCATCGGAGGTGACCCGGGCACCGAGCAGGAGTTGTTCTTAGCGTGCCTCCTACAACGCGCCGTCGCCCGCGACGTGCTGGTCCCGTCATCAGCGCGGCGGCGACGCCGAGGTATGGGAGCCGCGCGCTGGTGGTGGCCAGATCCGTGCGTCACCTGCGCGCACAGGCGCACAGGCGGCGCAACAGCTGACGCAGCACGGGAACATCGGGTATGTGCTTCGCACACTCATCTCCATGGATAAGAAGCCTGCGAGGAATCTCACCGCCTGCCTTGCCGCCATTGCTGGCGCTGTCGTGAATAACAGCAATGGCGGAAAGTTGCCTGGTCTGTCACGGAAGCTGTTCCAGAAGGCGCCGTCGGAACACAAGAAGAACGCACTGACGGAGGTCAAGAGCGGTGGCAACACGCGGGCGCTCGCCATGGTGCTGCGCGGCGAGTGGGTGGACGAGATCGCTGCACTCCGCCTCCAGTTCGAGCAGAAGGACATTGAGGTACACACACAGACATATCCACCTCTTCCCCACTCCTCTGTGCCCTCTGTGGATGCCAACGTGACCTTACTGCGATTGCGGCGTTCAGGTTGAGCGCCTCAAGGACCTGTGCCTGTGGCAGCGGGAGGAGATCTGGACGCTCAAGGGCGCCGTGTTCTTCCCGGCTACACAACCGGACCACAACCTCACGGGACAGATCCAATACCTTGCTGAAAAGATCGCGGTGGCACGTTTTCTTTTCTTTTCTTTTCTTTTCTTTAACGTTTTTCAATGCAGACACTTCACTAACTCTATTGATTACCCACCTAATCACCTAATCTTCCGTCTGCAATCGTTTCACTATGTACAGGTTAAAACCAAGAAACATATGCCAAGATCATGCATGTTTTGATGACGAATACTGCTGTTCCCCAAGTACTGTACGCTGGTGCTTAATGAGAATGCTTTCTCACTGGTAATTTTCACATGCTCCACCATTCGTCTGCTACAAGTACGATTTTCAAAATCCAGATGGACCATTTGACTGCTACTGTCAACTGCTTATATGTGCTCCTTCATAAATTGCCTTCAAATCAATCTTTTTAAATCCAAAGTTCGTGCTACCAAGTTTGCAGTATGCATTTTCTTCTCAAACTTGATAGTCTGCTATGCAAAGGTAGTTCAGTGGTTCATTTCTTAATACCAGTTTTGAAAGTCTCTTTCTCCTGTTGTTGTTTGTCCTTACAGTTGTTCTCCCATGGCGATGAACCACTTAGCTATGATTCTCACCGTAAATTTCTTGCAAACTATTGATCAATTAATTAGATGGTTTGATATTTAGTTAAATATTGATCAGTCGCTTAATTTTCTTAATAGTTACATGATCTATATTCCAATCAGTTACTTAGTTTTACTATAAATTTCTTATTTCTTGATCGATAACTTAGTTTTGGTACATGATCTGCAATATGTAATCGATCTTGACACCTTGTAATCAACGTTGCTAGCTCCCAAGTCTCTCGATCTTTCGATTCTCCCCAATATCTCTTTATCGTTTTGCCATGCACACTTTGATGTGGTAAAGATAAATTACCTACTTAATTAACCTTCCATTAAATCTTTAGATTAGTACCTGGTCCACTTTTGAAGTGCCTTCTAATATTTGTGTTTTAAATCGTTAGATCGAATGGAATCAACTGATCTCGTTTTTCCAACCATAACATAAAAATCTCCTTTTGTGCAATCACAAAGTGGAGGTATAAGTAGCCATTTTACGTCTTCTGTGCACATCAAATGTTAGATGTGCCTTGTAAATTCTTTAAGTTATTTTTCAGGTAGATGCTTTTCCATTTTTTGCTGGGCCATCAGTATCTTAGTCTTTGTTCCTGACAGGCACTATCGATCGGCTAGATGTTCTTGAACTCTTGAATGCCTGATGCTTGATCAGTGTGTCCTACCAGGCATGATATCTCCAGAGTTCAGATTTGCTTCTTGTGAATACTGGCTAAGTAAAACTGGTAACTATTGGCAATTCGGCATACATACTACTGAAAGGACGGTCCTTCCAGGCGTGACATCTCCATGTTCCAGAATTTTTTTGTGTGTTTTCACTAACAAAGGCGGTTATTCTTTAGACATTTGGTGCTTTCCCATTCACCACCGCATGGATCTTTTGATATACTATGCAGGTAACTAACAGCACAGGCAATTATATTCTGCTCTTTCAAGATTTTAGAATGATCATGTCCTTTAGTTTGTATTTTTTGCATGTACCATACGATTGATCAGGCTAAAAAAGCATACCCCTTTGTAATTGAGAACATATTCTGTAATAGTTCTTTTAGGATTGCGAACTTCATTTGTGTTATATTCTCTGTTAAGGAATGTGCTAATCAGCAGAAGAATGACAATAGAGATTTTTGTTCCCTTCAATGAACCACCACCACATTTGCAGTCCAGCAGAAATTGAAAATAGTTGTTCTCCAGTTGATGGTGTAACAAACAAGAAGCTTGTAAGGTTCCCCAACCTATACAATATATTCTCAACCGCATACGGCAGCAGTCAAATTGTCCTCCGATATCAATATCTGGCGTTCTAATACCCGAATTTTTTTTATCCAAGCACAAGCAACACAGTATTTTCAAATGTGAGCACGCCAAACCCACATTTTTATTTATAGGCAAGATGCAACAGTGATTCTATTCAATCGAATGTCAACAAGCTAATTGGATTAGGGATGGCAATTGTGCCCGTTTACCCGTGGGTAAAAACCCTATTAGGATTGGGTTTGTTCTCCATTTTATATCTATGGGTATCTTATTGGGTTAAAAGCTACCCATGCCCGCTTTGCCCGTTTACCCGTGAAATCTAACTTATATGTAGGCTAGGAGCAAAATCCATTAGAATACATAAGCCATGTTCTTTGTTTTCTACGGTTTCTCTTTTATTTCCCTTATTATTTCTCTCCCTTTACTCTATCGCCGCCAGAGGAGAGACACGATACCGAGGCGGAGAATATTTGATGTTTTAAGTTCGATTCGAACTTAGAAACTTGTAGATTTTTTGTTCCACTGCTCTTGTTGTGGCGGGAAAACAGGCACGCCCGCGGGTATAAGGCGCCCGCGGGCAATGGGCATGGGCAACCATCCTTACCCGTTATGTAGTAATGGGTATACCCACGGGCACAAATAATCTCACGGGTATAGGTATGGGTAGGTACTACCCGTGCCCGTCGCGCCCAATTGCCATCCCTAAATTGGATGCTGAATTGAGTTGAGTACGTGCGCTTATAGACCAACAGCCCACCTCCTATTAGCCAGTTAGTGTTTGATTTAGATATTGGAACAACATAGTAGGTGTAACATTTTTCTACTGTTCAAATCTAATTCATCCACGAGGATCATCATCAAAAACGTAATTTGTGCTAATAATCTTCATTTGTTTTGCAAAGCAGTTTTACATATCAGTTGTTACAAATAATTGTAGCATGCATATAAATTTTTTAGTGTAATCTGAATAAAGCTAAGTAAGGTACCAACACGATAGTCACGAAGAAGAGAGTTATCGAGGCTGCTGATTTCTAGATGTTTTTGCTAGTAACAAGGCAGAAAAGGCCTATTCATCTATCGTGGACATTTACTCAAACTATTCTGTTCATCATAAGATTACTCAGATTGACTTGATTACATGGGCATGTTGTTTAGAAATAGAAATTCAAATATCGTGTGCTCACATTTGTAATTAACAGGTTGCATGTGCTTATATACCAAAAAAATGGAATACCCGAATTTTTTTTATTCCCAGCCGATTATGATAGGTCTGATCGTTGCTACGATGGTTAATACATGGGCATGCTCAAGAACTTATTGTTTTTCTTGCTTATTGAATGTATTTTTGTGTGCTGATTTTTCCCACAAATTAGTTGTTTCCTCAAGTATAATTCTCAACGTTTACAGGTTCTCTGTAAAAACTAAATCCTTACGTTGTTTAAATAAATGTTGAAATAATATTTTTATTATAAAATTAGCAATTAAGTTTCAAAAATTAATCATGGAGAATTTAATAAAAAATAAATATAACCATGTTGTTTTATTTTTACACTTACCTTACCTGTAAATTAATTTAATTATAAAAAATATCCAAGTATTTCAAGAAATTTATATTTTAATTAGTTACATATAATGTAAATATTTGTTCACTTTTTCTTAATTTTCTCATATTTTCTTCCCGTTGCAACGCACGGGCACTTTTTCTAGTTAGGTTCTAAGGAAGTATAGAGGCTGGTCTTTGGTGATGTGGCGCTGACGTGGCACCTAAAGTTAGAAAAAAGAAATAAAATATGGCGGGACCGACAAAAAAAAACAGGTCTCACCCACCGAGTTTCCTAATTAGCGCAGACGCGCTAGATATCAATCTGACGCGTGTTTCCGGCCCATTTCTGTTTTGTCCATGTATTCCGGCCCACTTCTGTTTTTTCGGTGTAAAGAAACGTCGGGAAAGACGGCGTGTCGTGCGCCGGCGTTAGATTTGGAGAAAAAACAGGATTAGTTCCGTAATTAGTTTCCGATAATTATGTTTTCAATTAATCTTGCCTTTTTTTCACAAGGTTGTTTTCTTTTTTTAACTAAAGATTTTAAAATTTTATACGTGAAATTTAAAACTTTCTATAGAAGAAAATTGAAAGTCACAATCATAATTTAAAACAACTCAAAATTTCAACTTTCAATTCAAATTTTGAAAACTTTCAACTCAAAATTTAAACTTTCAAGTCAATTTTGAAAACTTTCATCCCAAATTTTAAAAACTTTCAACTCGAATTGGAAAACTTTCAACCCAGATTTGAAAACTTTCAAGTCGAATTTAAAAACTTTCAACTCAAATTGAAAAACTTTCAACTTAAATTTTAAAAACTTTCAACTCAAATTTGAAAACTTTTAAGGTAAGATTTAAAAACTTTCAATTCTACGTTTGTAAAGAGGTATAGGAAAAATTGAAAAAAAATCGGGAAAAAAAGAGCGAAAAAAGGAAGAAAAACCCGCCTGTAGACACCGAAATCGGGAAAAAAAATAATAACAGAAAAAAAAGGTGGGGCAGGGGGGCTAGGCTTGCTGGTGCGTACGCGCGCATTAGCCGCCCCCCTCACCCACGCCTACGATCGCGTACCTCCGGTCGGTCACCCACGCCGCGTCCGCGCTCACCCGCTTTGAGATCGGCGAGCCGCTCCCAATGTTCGACCACGGCCCGCCCGCCGGGATTGTCCACCGCCCGGCCTGTCGTCGCACCCTCCATCGAGCAACAGCAACGGCGCGCGCAGGAGGAGGAAGGCGCTGTTGTGGATGATCATCTTGTTGGCGACGTGGCTGGGGCGCCGTCGATCGGTCACGCGAGAGGAACGCGGCGGCGGCGGCGGTGAGGAGATGAGGATGGTGGTGAGGAACAGTAGCCTCGCGGAGGTCGCGGCGGGGTTGGAGGAATACTTCCTCAAGGCCAGCGTCGGCTGCGTCGCCGGCGACGCCATGTCGAGCCACCTCGAGTCGAGCATGGGTTGCAGAATAGAAGCTTTCATGCCACTGATCACCACCACATGAATTGATTTTGTTCATGGTGGACCGAACAACATCTTGGACGCGCTTTGCTGCGTGTCAGCGCCATCAGTGGCGCACGACCACGTCGACAGCATCAATGGCGAGCAGAGGCATACCCCCACCATGTAGCAGCAGCTAGCCTGGGAGAAGAAGCTGTATTGGGAAGTGAAGGTGATAACAACTTACCAAAACAAAGCCTCAAACTAGCCGTCGTACCGTATTACCGTGCGTGTTCTATGGCCAGTCGAGTGATGCGATGTTGCAATGCAGGCGAGAGAGCGGCTGCAGGTCCAGAACGATAAGAAGCTGGCGGAGCTGAGTGACCAGGAGTACAGCAGGAAGATTGACGTGGATGTGTTGAAGGCTTGAAGCTGAAGAAGACCGCGTGGACCTCGCCAGGGGCAGCATCGCGATGCGCGTTGGCGAGGATCCCCGAGCTGCCATCGGGCGCTGTGCCCATCCTCTTGTAGCCGGCCTCGTCTCCCGCCTCGCCGAGGAGAGGATGGAACTCCTCTGCGCACACCGCGGACGCTGCTCCTCTCCCTGTCTATAGCCGGCCCACGTGCCCTGGAGGCTGGGAAGAGAAGGAAGGGAAGAGAGGAATATGAAGCTGACACGTGGGGCTTAGGCACTAAAAAACGGTCGTGTTTGGAATCAGCCGTTCCCAGATTACATAGCTCACGGAAAACGAAACGGTCCATTAACGCGTGATTAATTAAGTATTAGCTAATATATTTTTTTAAAAAAGATCAATATAATTTTTTAAGCAACTTTCGTATAGAATTTTTTTTTTTTTGCAAAAGAACACACCGTTTAGCGGTTTGAAAAGCGTGTGCACGGAATACGATAAAATTTCTTGCGCGGAATACTGCTCTAGGACCTTATATGTACTCTGGTTTTGTAAGTTGAGGGATGTGTTATGTCTGTTATTATGGTTGAAGGATGTGATCTAAACTCGACGACAAGATGAGGGACTTGAAGTGAACTTATTCTGGAAGGGAGAGAAGAGCGGGGACATGGTGGGCCGACCGAGCCCAGGGAGAGGAGGGATGCAAATTTGACTTCTGCAGAAAAATTGAATTAGAGAGAATTTGGATTTGAATTCAAATTACATATTCAAACTCAAGGGATCAAGGAGGAGTCAAGGAAGGAATTCAAGGTGGTAATTCGATGTTTTTGGAACTGGAACAAGTATTAGACAAGGATTAATCAAAGGGAGAGATTTAACTTCGAAATTTGATTTTTGGGGGACTTGATTCAGAATATGGAATTTCGGGGTGTTGATTTTTGATGTCGAGGAGGGGGAACAAGGGAGGATTTAAATTGATATCCACAACATGACTTGGCTGAGTTTGTTTCTAAAGGTTCCCAACCCATCTCCTTAGTTTTCCACGCCCACACTTTTCAAACTGCTAAACGGTGCGTTTTTTACAAAAAGTTTTTATGCAAAGTTGTTTTAAAAAAATCATATCGATCCATTTCTTAAAAAAATAGTTAATACTTAATTAATCACGCGCTAATGGATTGCTCCGTTTTTCGTGCGGGAGGGTAGCGTTTCTAACCATGATGAACGAACACAGGCTTAGACCCTCACTCTATAAAGACAGCAATGTTCGATTTTTAAAGGTGTTGCATGGGACAGCAAAGAGAAATGAGCGACGATAGGCAAGCGAGCTTATTATAGATTTACTTTATACCTAATGTGTATATAGGGTTACCTCCAATACAATAAATGATAGATATAGCAGCAAGCGAGTCAATTATTTACTTGTTTTGAAAAAAAAATATAACCATGTAAAGAAAATGTACATAGATATATCGCTGCTAAGCGCGTAATCACGTGGGCCACCCTAGTAGTACGTAGTTATGGGAAATTCGCTATTGAAAAAGATCGTTATTATCGGTGTCTTTTCCTCCAACTAGTGAATTAGCTGCTGATTATTGAAGCTGCTTTATGCTAAGAGAGAGACGAGCATGTTTTACTTAATCTGACGTGTATATTGCTATAGCGTGTACATGTGCATCAGTGCATGCCTGCTTAGCTCATGTCATATTATCATCATGTCACATGTATAGCTCGCCGCCACTACTCCAGTATTACTGGTGGCAGGTTTGGCGACAAGCTAACTGCAGCATACTAGTAGCCTAACCAATCAGCTCTAGTCTCTCGTCCAAAGTGAACAAGATATACGCGCGCAAGGACATGAATCGATAAATCGACCGTTTTTTATGCGAGAACTCAGAGCTGTGTAGCAGTAGTCCACAGTGGCCACTGGCCAGTGTATGCATGTGTGCATGATATATGGTGATCTGTGCCAATCTCTGATGTGCAGTTGGGCATGATACTCGCAAGGAAAAAGAAAGAAGAACGCATGCATGATACATATATATCGATCAGAGAAATTGAGAAGCGGGTGCATGCCTATATATGTTAACAGCTAGTAGTAGCTAGTGGTATGTATACAGTCAGTACATGTGATACATCGTGTACGTGGTTCTTCGTGTAGACGGCCGGTCCGGTCAATCGAGGAAAGATACGTCGTCATCGATCTGATCAGTCAAGCATACGAGGCTGGCTACGACTACGATACGAGTGGTACGCTTCTCTTGCTAGCCGCTTGCTTTAATTTGGAGCAATCGCTCCGCCTGTCTGAACTAAAGCAACCACATTCACATACGTCCAAAACTTCTTTTTTTCAAAAAGCTATAGCTCTTTCTATGCTATGCAACTGGGACACCTGTCCACACCGATCGCTTGATATACATATACACACTGTCCTGTGGGTCAAAAGAATCTCGAGCAAATAAAGCACACACACACTGCGTCTTGCGCTGCTCTCTCTTCTCTATCTACATTAATTGGTGGCTTCCGATCCTGCGAGGGAGAGAGAAGGCAGCTGTGCCCTGTGATGTATATCAAGGCAAAAACCCTAGACCAAGCACACGTCCGTCTCATTTCTCCCCCTTTCTGCTTCCACCATCAAACACACCGCAGCCGCCGCCGCCTCCTCCTCCTGCTGCTGCTGTGAGCCTTTGTGACACGCACACATCTACATTAATTTACACATGTATTATTACTACTTGATCGAATTCAATTTGACAGTAAGCTAGGTGGTGGTTCTGCAGAGCCAACCGGATCCAAGATGGAGGCGTTTGAACCAGATCGATCCTAGCTACGACCTTCCTGCCCTGGAGGATCTGCACTTCTTCCCAGTTCTCACGACCACCGTAGACCACAGCCAAGGTAAAATATATAGCATATCTCTGTTATTACCCCCCACCCCACCCAAACCTAAACCCTCTTTTATCGACGCTTGCGAGTGATCGATGTTCTTCACTCATCTTCCTACTTGTGCATTTATTTTTTATCTGCTCGATCGGTTGCTCAAGGGGCACTTCTTGTCTACCTTAACTAAGATCTCTTTTTTTTGTTGCCATTATTACTCGATCGGCTGCCTGCATTGGTGGGGAAATTTAAAGTTCAAAAACCTTTCTTTTGATTCGGACCGCTAGTTCGATCGATTCTTTCATCCTCTCCTGCAGAGGTTAATTGGATCCATGTCATTGCAAAAGTACATATTTAAATAAATACCGTTATAATTCGTCTATTTCTAACCGTGTCATTAAAATTTTACAAAATTAGAATCGTGCCATTGCCGTCAAGTTTCTATCCATCTCCATCTTTTTTTTTTCCGTTTCTTCTTTTTTTTTCCCTCCCATCTTCTTTGCTTTGCTTGGCGGCTGTGTATGATGTCCGGCCGCGCGATCGCGGGGGTTCAGGGCACCAACGCCGCCGTGGCCAGCGCGTTGATTTCTCCTCCTGCCATGCGTGGTTGGTGGCCAGCGCACGGCGGCGTGGCGGCGGGCGCAGCAGGCGGGGCAAGGCCGCACTGCGGCCGGCAGCCCGGCACAAGGCGGCGCTGCGGGCGACGGCGGGCGCAGGGTGGTGCGGTGGCCGGCGCAAGCACGGCGGGCGGCTCCCTGGCGAAAGCGCGGCGGCCTCGACGCGGCTTCGGCGCAGGCTCGGTGGGCGGCGGCCGGGGCACGGCGCGAGCAACGGCGACGCACGCAGTAGCTCGACCACACTGTGCTGATCGTCCTGCCAATCTGCCATCCGTTGTGGTGTTCCTTCAATCCTTCTCCTTGCCTTGCTCGGATGGTATCTATGGTGGAGCAACAAGATGAGCCAGAATGGCAAGAAAAAGAAGAGCAAGAGCTCCACCATGAAAGTGTACTTGGGCCGTCAGAAGTCGCCGTCCAGGGACAGGCGGACGCTGACAACGACGGCGGAGATGACGACGACATCATCATACCAGCAGGCATGCCGACGAGGTTTAGCTTCCAGGAGATTACAACGATGACCTCCAATTTCGCGACAAAGGTGAGAACAGGCGGGTTCGGCACAGTGTACAAAGGGGAGCTTCCAATGGCGCGGCGAGGGGCTCATCGCCGTGAAAAAGCTCGAGGCTATCGAGCTGAAGGGAAGAAGACGGGAGAAAACGGAAAAACAGAGGGATGGATAGAAACTTATGATAGTGGCATGATCCTAATTTTGTAAAATATTAATGGCATGGTTACGAATAGATAAATAATAATGACATTTATCTAAATATACACATTTGCAAAGGCATGGATCCAATTATTAATAATTGATTGATTGATCACTCAATTGGTGGGTTTGTCTCTCTCTCTCTCTCAACTTGGGCATGTTAATTGGTGGCCTCCGATCCTGCTATTCTTTTTAAAACATGGGAAAATTTTAAAATCCACCCCATAAGTCACGTGACATACTAGGGTGCATTTGCAACAAAATTACTTATGGTTGCTGTTCGCAATAACGGAATTAATGGAAGGCAAAATTTTAAGTTAAATATTTGATATTTGAATGCATGTTCGTTGAATTTAAAAAATCTTCATATATATATATAGATGTTCACAACTCCACGAGATTCTTTGTCACGGCGTTACGCTGAAGCTGTTAGAAGGATGACATGGAAAAAAAAAATGGGGGTGAATGGGATTTGCAAGGTTGCCCCAGTTGTCAAAACACAAGAGGGTGGTAAGAATTTCTCTTGCTTGTTTAATCTGACATTAACATCAATGTGCTATGGTCTTTTGGACTAACAAGAAGTACATGCTTTTAATCGTATATCAGGGACCTGTATTTACAATGCTATCTGCAGTACTATGGAGTCCCACCTGAGGCTTAATGGCTACTGCGTCAGGCTCTCCGTGGAAGACTTGATCGAGAAGGAGCAAGCGCTGGTTTGTGCAGAAGAAGACAGGACGCTGCGCTGCATCGAAGTGGCTAAGACTCTCGGAGTTTGCTCACACCGAGATTATCAGGAGGTGCGTGCGTACACATACGTTATAGTTAGACATTTAGGCCGAGTTGAGTTTCTAATTTTTTTTTCAAACTTTCAACTTTTCCACCACGTTAAAATTTTCCTACAGAGACAAACTTCTAACTTTTCTGTTACATCGTTTCAATTTTAACCAAACATCCAATTTTAACATGAACTAAACACATACTTAATTATCTGTTAATGCTAATTGTCTGTTTCTTAATTAGAGCAAGCGCAAGGGCACCGGCCGGAATGGGAGCACATTCAAGATCCTCTCGATCAGGGCCTTTCTCAAGCTGAATGCCGATGCTTTTGCGGATGCCATTGAAAGCTGGGGGACTAATGGACCACTTCTAGCTGAGATCGATGTGGACGAAACATTCATGCAGTATATAATTAAGTTCGAGCAAGCGGGTATCCTGTCATATGAAGCTTACAATGAGATCAACATGAGAGTCCATGCAGCGTGTGTTCTCGCGCTGGGCGTGGAGAATGTGGTACCGTTCTGGGAGTTCATCAATTCGTACGGCAAGCTTGGGAAGACTAAGGGCTACGGCAGAGTGGTACCCCATAACGTGAGACGCCTATTTGAGATCGTCGTTGAGGTTCCGAAGAAGAGGGTGAGGGGCATATTCGAGAATACGCCGAGCGACTCCATCGACACCCAAGACTTGCGGCCTTCCAAGGGGAGACCTCCTGTGACTGATACGGGAGATGTCGTTGTTCCTGTTCTCATGGGCGCAGCCGCTGCCGCTGGGAATCCATTCCCCACACATACCATGGACTGGGCTTTCTCTGACCCTCCAGATGGTTATGGTTCATCTGCCAAGCCGGAGCGCCTCCATATGATGGATATAGATTAATTAGCGGCTTTTTCTGACCCTCTAGTTCTAGTTCCTCTGTAATGCGCTTCTTATGTGATCAACAACTTTATGTTCTGTTCTGAGTATCAGATGCTGTGCACCGTGAGAAACTTAAAATACTAGTACTCCACAACAAGCAAGCGAGAATCTACTTATCCAAATCCAACTTGTCACGGTTTCCATGTTAATAGTAATTAATAAAGGGAGCCACGCAACCCAACCGTACCACAAAACTGCTCCAACGACACATTGCAACACTTCTTTTAATAAGTTTTGAGAGTAGCGGGACTGACCGATCATATGTGACTGACCGATCGGCCTACTAATAAACAATGGAATAACGACTGCCTCATAGGGGAGTAATTGCAGATGCAGGTGTGACAACAACAACAAAAGAACAACCGTAACAGCATTCCAGAATGAACAAGTAGTCAACAACATAAAGAAGACGCTAGCTAGCTAATCTTCCAATCGTCGTGGAGCATTCCAAGCCATGCATTCAGTTGACACTTGATACTTGATAGATTCTTCCCCCACATACAGCAGCGTCACCTCTCCTCCAGTCGTCAGCAATTCTCGTCTTTCAAGTCTCTCTCTTCTTTCCGGACCTATAAAAAGCACACTGCCCAAGTCAACGTGAAATTGCACGAATAATTCCAGTTGGATCACCAACAACCTTGTCCTAAAGGCAAATGATCACTCCCAGACACACAATTATACCCAATTTCCTTGGGAAGTGCACAGAAAACAAAAGGGACCACAGAAGAAATAAATTTTAAACACATTCTATAGTCCTTATTATGTAATGTGGTCAACATTACTTGTCAATGCCTTCGGAGAGACTGGGAACTGAGCTATATTATTGTCATCTTTGTGTCAGGTAAGGTTGTTACTCTGCACAGCGCATCGCTAGACCTACTTGGGAAAACACTGAGCTTTGAACAGAAACCTAAGTTTTGGACCTATGAAACAGTGACTATGTGGTTCCTACATATGCAAGGATAGCCAGTGTGTCTTGTCGATGCATTGTGAAATTCACTGCTGCACTATTAGATCTAATTTGATTTACACGAACTAATGGAATGATCCCGTGAAATTTCAAAAGTTCTAATCCAGCATTAAGGCCTATTAATAAATTGTCAATTTTTTTATCCTAAGAATGAAAAAGCTACAACTCCGTAATGATCGACGTACCTCAAGCATCAGCATGTTAGCGTGATTAATGGTCAGCCCCTCAGGCAATGCTCCTACGTAGCCAACAAATCCACCGTCCTTTGGATGCCTGATTCCACCCCAGCAATGGGCACAGATATCAACGGAACCTGGAGGTGACAACCCTTAATTCATTGATTGTTTCAGAGAAAAAACCATGAACTTCAGCACAAGGTTCAATATATTGTTTGAGGCATTTGTATCAGGGGGGACTGAAACGACAGAAATTTCCGAAAATTCGGTCCGAAATTATTTGATTTTTTGAACAAAATTTGGTCAAATTTAAACAAATATTGCCAAATTCACAGAAATATGAAATAATATGGTATTAGGGGGGGGGGTCCAATAGAAACAAAATTTCGTTCCAGAATTTTGAACCCTGCTTCAGCACATGCATGTCAAAATGAATATTCAGCGGCATAACATTTATCGATTACTCCAATGATAATTTACAATGAGGGAAGGGAGGAAACATGGAGTCCAAGTGCTTACCATTGTATTTATCGACAATCTTGCACATTGTGACCTCATTTGGTTTTTCTTCCCCCCTTAATTCAGCAAAAAAGGGTGTTGAACAGCCAGCAACAGTGGCTCTAAAGTACACGTGCCAGAAACATTGTTTGTCAGCAAGCCTCAAGATAAACATGTGGCTATCCTTGGCTACTCCCTTGGTTGCTTTATTGGCTGGCTGAAAATGAGAGGAAGGGAACAATACAAGGAAAAAAAGAACAGAAAATATAATGAATTAAAAAGGTAACTGACTCAATCTTAACAAACTGATTACAAATATATGAAGTAAGCAGAATACTTCAGAATACTAATCAGATGATCTCCAAAAGCTACCTTATATCTAATACACACATTACCATCTGAGGTAAAATATAATAACAAAGATAAATCACATAAGGTAAGGTCCAAGATAACATCAGTACACACATTTTCCAAGTTGTAGTAGTGCATTGCTAGACGGGTGCAAACACGTGTCTGGTGACATTGACTTGTATTTTTATGTTCTTGCCAATTCAATGGTCCCGGCAGCTTGCTGCGGTCCCTTGAAATTGCATCCGGCTGTAGCATGCGGTGATGAAAAAATTCTTCAGCAGCACTTTCATATTGCCAAAGAACAAAATGAAGATTAGAAATGTGATGCACATCTAGCAAAGCAAAGTAACTTTATGTATGTGTTCCAGATGTTATTTACGTAAGTGCAGATGCTTTGGATTGCTTGCCATGATTTGCTATAAAATATACCATTTCTAATGTACAGATAGCTGTATGTAGCAGTCACTGTTGCTACCAGTTGAAAAATAATCTTACATGTATAAATATTTAATTTATATGCACATCATGTATGGCCTAAAAGAAATTAGTATACATAATCAAGCCTTGTGCATTAATGGAAGTTACTTCCTACCCATTTCACCCAAATTATTATTATGTTTTGGAGAAACATATAAAACACATGAGAAAAAGAAACATACTCAGGGGGACCTTTCTTTTCGGGCTTTTGGGACGCCATTCTTGATAGCTCAAAAGGAGATGCCCTTAAAGTTTTCCTGCATATGTGAAAGTTAACATTGAACTTGATGCAGGTGCTTAACAAACACAGATTACCGAATAGCTAAAGTAATACAAGGATAAGCATCTATTGAATGAGAGCTGCAATATTCAACATAAATATAATGGTATGTTACAATAACAAATTATTTAATTCATCTAGCAAAAACTATCATAGACATCCTATTACTATCTTTAATACACTAAAAATACAATAGAATCTAATTGGGTGCACAACTAATTGGGTCCACTCATACTGAGGTAGTTTAACCATGATGCATTTCACCTGGTCCACCACTAGGGTGTGCACTACATTTTCTTCCCCATAAAAGGTTGCTTTCCCCCCTTCGTTTTCTCAAATGAGCTGAAGGAGAGCTATGCAATTGATTTTTTTTTAAAGAGAGCACTGTGCAATTGAGGCTTGTCAAGTATCAACATTTTCCAATCTGGCTGATTGCAGTTAGATCTAGTTTGCAAAATCTTAAGTCCTAAGTACTAACTAAATCTAGTTAAATCCAAATCAATTTCCACAAAATTTGTTAACTGTAAATCAAATTTACCCAAAATTTGTTAACTGAAAAACCTGAAGAGACTTCAGTGACTGGAAAAAAAAAACCTAAAGAGACTTTAGGCATAGATAATCCGAAGTATGAGGGACAAGAAGATGAGCATCAAGCAAAACTGCTCCTTAACTAGTAAAGACAAAGACCGAACGAAAACACATGCCATTTAACAGAAAAATATGGCACGAATACTTTTTAGGTAAGAACCGAACCACGAAAATATTTGGGAAGCCCGGGATTCAGACTATGAGATAAAGAAAGCGGAGAAACATTACCAGATGTATAGGGTGGCGGGCGAGAATGATTGAGCCGACGGCGCGTGGGAATGGGGTACGGGACGACACGGGAAAGGGTTTAGCCGGCGGCGAAGAAACGCAAAGGCGTGGCCGCGTGAGTGAGGAAGAGAGCCGAGGCTTGAGCTGAGAGCCTGAGAGTGGTGGTGCCGTGGTGGAGACTGGAAAACCCTAGTGGGCGAATGCTCGCGAACGCAGGCTTTCTTCCGTTTCTGGCCCAGGCGGCCGCGCCTTTTCCTTTTCCTTTTCCTGTGTGGAATAAGTTCACTTTAGATCCCTCCATTTGTCATTGAGTCTTAAATTCCCCAACTTACAAAACTGTGCAAACGAGATCCCTCGGTAGTATTATCTCCGGTTTTGACTGACATAGCGCCTATGTGGCTCCTTTGACTAGGTCTTCATCCCACGTGGCATTGACATGGACTTACAAGGCAATTCGATTCGGAAAAATAATAAAACCCATGGACCCACATGTCAGTTTCACACACAAAATAATAAAAAATAGTGGGGCTATATGGTCCCACATGTCATCCTCACTGCTCCCCTCTTCTCTCTATCCTCTCTCTAGTAGTAAGTTGTTTCATCTCATAGATGCTCTAATGGCTTCACTTAGTGACGGTGGAGCGGGATGGGCGTTGGTCGGAGCGGCGGCGACCGGAGCATGCCAGTGGTGCAGAGCGGACCGTCATTGTCAACCGCTGTCACACCGCCACAGCTGTCGTGCTCACCAGCAACTGCTTGAGCTCCTCCTCCGGCCACCTCCGCCGTTGTTGCCCCCTCCACCGCCCGACCACTCCATCCCACCCGTCGCCCGCTTCGGCAGCCGCCTACCCCGCTCCGCTGGTTGGAGAGAGAGGGGGATAGAGAGAAGAGGGGAGAGAGAGGGGGGATAGAGAGTAGGGGATAGTGAGGATGACATGTGGGGCCCCATGGGCCCACCATTTTTTTTTGTGTGTAATTGATATGTGGGCCTCACGTGTTTTATTATTTTTTCCGGATCGAATTGCCATGTAAGTACAACGTTAATGCCACGTGAGACGAAGACCTAGTTAAAGCCTCAAAGGAGCCAAGTATGCACCATGTCATCCAAATCCAGGACAGTACTGCTGAGGGATCTCGTTTGCACTGATTTTGTAAGTTGAGAGATGTGTTGTGCCTCGACGGATGAATTTCGAACTCAGTGACAAAGGAGGGACCTAAAGTGAACTTATTCCTTTCTGTGTGAGGCCTTGCGGCTTTTCTTGACGTGGTGTGTTATGCGCGTACACTAACGTGATTTGGAGTAATACGAAGTAGTGAAGTAGGGTTAGAGGGGTGGGACAGTTTGGTCTTTGGTGTGTTATTCTCACGCTGCACGCAGTAGGGGACACAGAGGAAGACGACAGCGTCTTTTAAAGTATAAATAAGTAGACTTTGTTAAATTCATTTTAAATTTATATGTATAAAGTTTCTTTACTCAAAGTTTCTATTAGAGATAGTTTCCATGCATAAATTTGTGCTTTAACTCGTATAAAGTTTGTACATTTTTAATTTTCTTTCAAATTCATATGCATAAAATTTCTGCGGAATGTTTCTAAAAAAAAATCTACGTATATAGTTTGCATGTAGCAAGTTTGGACTTTAATTGTATACGTTTTGTATATATACTGTATTCGTTTAAAAAATGAGCTTTGTATATTGCCTCGGAATACTAGATATCTTAAACGTCCTAGATTCGCCGCGAGCTCAGCCGATCCACGCCATTGAATTTTGCAGAAAACCCCTCGTTGTTTCGGTATTTCGGATTAGGTTCAGCTGATCAGAGCCGTTCTTTCTCACGCGTGTACGAAATCTAGCCGTTCATTCCCTACGTACGGCCTTGCCTGGTCGTGGAATCGGTGGCCGGTCCTCTCCCCACGCCGCCTCCTCTCTCCCCCCCTCTCTGGCTCTCTCCCCCGTCTCCCCGATCCCCTTTCTCTCTCCCTTCTCCGGCGCCGCTTTCCTCGCCGCCGTCCCTCTTCCCCTTCGGGTGCGCCGCTCCCCCTCCCCTACATCCCGACCTCCGCCTCCACCGCCCTGCCGTCTCTGCCACCGCCACCGCCGTGGCGACTCGCTCCCGCCCGCCTAAGCCCACTGCCGCCGCTCCCGAGAGTGGAGGCGGGCGGATCCGCGTGCTGCCGGCGCTCCCGTTCCTGCCAGGCCGCTCCCAAGGACGACGGCCGCTGGATTCGTGCGTCACCGTCGCTACCGAGGACGGGGGACGACGAATCCGCATCGGTTTCTTCCTGCCCCGCCTCCTCACGGCGTGGGTCTGTCGGTGGGATGGAGGTTCTTGCGCGGCGGCGCGGGCCGGGGAGCGAAAGGTGAGGACTTTGTGTGTGTTCTCTTGGTGCGTTTCTTGCTGTGATTTCTTGGGGGAGCTGTTCGTGGTTTCTCCACCTGCGGCCGTGGACGAGATTCTCCATCTCTGCTTCGGGGGATTTCTTGTGGGTTTCTTCCCTTCCTCTTCCTCTCTCTCCTGTGGCAAGGTGTGGGAGGACGGCCATGGTCTGGAACTCTGGATCTTCTCTCTTACTGATTTTCCTCCAGCACAGACGAGCACCACGCGGAACCTGCGGCTCGCCGTCGACGGCGCCGGCACCAACAACCAAACTCGAACGTGGAGGGGCTTTTGGAAAGTTAAGAATGGGGATTTTCATTTTTTGTTTTGTTTTGAAGCTTTCGCTAATTTATTGGTGCTGACCATCTAGAGTGAGTTGATGCCTTGCAATTGGCTACTGAGCTCAGCATTTGCTTTACTTGATAGTGCTCAGTTTGGCAATTGGAATATACCCATCACATGATGCAAATAATTCTAGATTACTAGCACTGCTTTGTTCTATTTGATTATTTTTTTACTCATCAGATTATGTCAGTGCATGTCAAAAAGACCAGTCAGATGATGCCAAGTGATCAAAAGATATAAATACTGTCGAATGATACTAACCTTTGTACTCATTTTATTACAACATGAACAAACCCTTCTTTCTTCAACCAAATTCTACCATCAAAGCATGGGATAGCTAGGGCCATCTCAGTGCCGGTGAGCTGGGGACGTGGTAATTTCCCGGAGTTTTCAATTTATTACTATTCAGTTTCTTGATGTATGAGTGCAACAAGTTAGTAAAACAAGCTACAATTTATAATCGGGTAGTCCTGTCCATGTATAACATGGTTATCTTTGTTTATTTCTTATCTTATATGCTAAGATATTTCTTCTCATTTTTGCAGGGTGGAAGATCTTTCGATTTGTGAAGTTACACCAATTTACTAACTTTGTGATATTGCACTAAATTTAGGCTGTATGTATCAGTTATTTCTTCCAGATTGTTTTACTCACAGAATAGATATGTTTTTCATGTTATCAATGCACATCCTTTTAGCTAGAAATATAGCCTTGGTGTTTGCATGTCAACTGGAGAAGCATGTCGACTGAAATTGGTTCTATTTGTTCCAGGACAATCATGTGTTCTTCAGTTCCTGGGTTAGCATTGCTTAACACCAGCATAAGCAAATCTTGGAGCGATGAGGAACTTGTGCGATTCTTGGCAGAGAGGAAAGCAGCAGACTCTTTGCCGGAGAATGTAGTGGTGGGGATGAACTTTTCTCTCATTGATCCATGGAATTCAGGTTAGTGTCCAATCTATACAGAAATTTATTATGACGTATTCCTGGTGGTATAACCAGTCTTGCATTCTGAATTAATGGTATTCTCCAACAAGACTATGTCATGTAATATCTGTGGTCTGCTTTTCATAATTCAGTCGTTATAGACCATGAAGGCTTCTTTGTTTTGTCCTTTTTGAGTTGTTATATATATTTACTTTACTACAGTTTATTATACGATTCGGTAGTATAGCAGCATTTTAATTCTTAAATGATAACTAAAGAAAGGGAATCCTACATAGAATTGATAACTATTTAGGGTTAAAAGGCATGGACCATTATGCAAAACCAGAAAGAAATATCTTGGGCTCTGATGAAAGTCCAGAGTTAAGTGCACGAACGCATACTTCAGCCCCATTGATTATGGCAAAAATTGCCTGCATGAAGTGCTCATAAACTAAAGTGGGATGTTATATGAGAAATACTTTGGCACTTCACATTACCCTGAGCATTTCTTTTTCATTTTTCTTTGTAGCCTGTGCACCAGTTGCTTGCATGTTTTCACTAGAAAATTCTGAATTACGCTATTTGACGATTAAATTATGTTCAATGTGTTGCTCGGCTAGGATCCTTTAACTTTCACATCCTCACCAGAGTTTGCTATTATGAGAGGTCATTGTTTGCCAGTTAAACTTTAAGTTTTGGAGATGTCATAATGCACTATATGCCATTGGTTATTATCAACTTTTGTTTTTAGATACTGTACAAGCAGATCATGTGCTAAGATTTTGGGGCTTCAGTTCACTTTTAGCATTAAAATGTGCACATAAGAGGAGCGGTAGCAGCAGCAGGAGGATAGGAGATGTAATGAGGCAAGAGTGAACTTGTGAGCTTTCTTAAAAACTGTTTATTGCCCAGCAACGGCGATGCGATGTACACAGTCATGACAGAGCAGATGAGGTGGGACTTAAATTTTATTAATCAGAGTATATGATAATGTTGTCATCTGAATGTTTGTAATATTCAAGACCTTAATTGCTTTGTTTTGATCTAATTTTTTTAATCTTTGAAAGAATTAACGTCGCTATAAATAGAATGATTCTGAATTTTACATGGAGAAAATGGTATTCGTACCCATAACTGCTGCGATATAACATTATCTTCTGTTAAAATGAGTTATCGCATTAATAGTTTTCTTCCATTAGGGCTGCCAATGTTCTGAACTTTTGATTAAATTTGGGTCCAGTTGTTTAAATGATGACAAAAGTAACAGTTGCTCACGAGCTCTCATTCTCTCCTACAAGTGTGTTCTATTCATCTATCTATTTTTACTGTTTTCTAGCATGCCACTGCTTTGTCGTCCATAACTCCAAGCAAAAAGCAAAATGTTCGGCTTAAGATTGAAACAAAAGCAAAATGTTCGGCTTAAGATTGAAACAAGCTTTGCAGAACAAGCTTTGCAGAATTGTCGGACACAAGTTACTTGGGAGGGTTCTCACCATACAGGTGCAGACTTGCGCCCTTTTCTGGAGTTTGTAGGTTATTAGCTTTACAAGAGATTTGTGCTGCTTTTAATGAAATTATTATATAGTCCAACTTACGAAACCATTTGTACCGTGGTGCTTGCATTGTGTTGTGGCTTAAAACAAAATTAATAAGGCATGGATTTGCAACAATGAATTAGTTTTTGTGTGTCCACGGGCTCTGTATGTCAAAAAAAAAAAAACTTGTTTGCCCTTGCCTTCTTGCTATGAAATATTGTACTGTCATGTAACTAATGAATCGTCATTTACATGTAAAAGAATTGCTTCTCTAATCTTACATTCTTCTGTTTCCCGTAATTTAGTGGCCGCGCCGCATAGCGCGCGAAACCTTTCTAGTAAATTCAATGTGGGCTGCCTGATAAGCTAGGCCATACGAGAATTCATGTCTACATTTGAGTCGACACATACGTTGGCCGCATTCACGTGGCCCCGTCCGAGCAAGCCTTCGCGCAACAACAACCGCAAGCAAGCTAAGCTTTGTGTGCATCCTTGAATAAAAGGTCCACTTTCCAGTCCTCAAAGCAAGGGTGCAGATGGTGTCAAAAGGAAAAAAAAAGTAAGGGATAATTTGATCCGTGCTATTGTAAATGTGTCAATTCAAATAAATGATATTACAATTCATTTATTCATAGTCATGCCATCCAAATTTTATAAAATTTAAAATTATAACCATGCCATCGCCGTTATGTTTTGGGTCCCACATCCTAGGAGATGAAAAAACATAACGGCGATCAGGGGCGGTCACGGGGCATAGACATGGGGGTACAGTTGTACCCCCCAAAATTTTTTTGCAAAAAGAACAGTATACATAGGGTATATTACATACATGCACCAAAAGTGGATTAAAATGAATATTGTCGACGTTTGATATCGCGATTCCGGTATTTGCATAGTATGGGGATCATTGGTACTAGGATATATGCGAGACTGAGGTAAAAGAGACGGGGACGAGGATTTTTATATAGATTCAGGCCTCTGAATTGTCAGGTAATAGCCCTACATCCTATTGGCCGAAGCCGGTCGTTGCTCTTATTCACCATAATCACACCAGTACAATATTTGAGGTAGCCTATCTAATTGTTGTCGACATGGCGGTCTGAAGTTCTGACTCGTAGTCGACAACAGGGTTGACTTCCTCCTCGAATCCGTGCCCGGCGAGATCAGAGATAGCGCTTTCGTCTCTCCTGACAGTATCCGGAGACACTGTAGGGAACTAGCCGTTCTTATCCCTGAAGTCGATATCCGGCGTCTTGTCTTGGCGTATGTTAGCTTGTATGTTGTGGCTTCTGTTGTTCCGTATATTGTGGTGGGTGTATCGGCGGTGAGATTCGATGCCCCAGGCCCTTCCCGGGGGGTCTTGTATTTATACCCATAAGTGCCCCCTTGTCCAAGTAGAACTAGGGAAACCAATATGGATACAATGTGAGTAGTCCTTGTCGTTTCCATGTAGAACTCTGGTTGTCTTTCCTTATCTAGAACTCCGTCCATATCCAATGTCAATTTCCGTATAAGACATGGTATGTGGTGGGTCCTGCCGAGATGTAGTCGACTACTATTAGGTATGTGGTATTCATAATCCTGACAGTAGCCCCCGACTTCAATGTAAATGAACGAATTCATATTCTTGACCGCTGACCATGGAGTAACTGTTATCGAGCTCAAGTGACCGTTCTCGGTGAGTTCAGAGATAACGTTAGACTTCCTTTATCAGCCTCGTGCGGGCACCTATAGGGTTTGTCTGAGTCAATCTCCGATGTCAACCAAGAAAGTACATAGCATACAACTAGGTCTCCCGTCTTGCTGTAATCGAGAATTTGGATTGAAGTCAAGAAATTTTATCTAGGCGGGTACACCATCTCTTCATTTTGTATTCCTTGTCGAGATCCACCAACCGTTCTCGAGCGATCGAGAAGGCGTAGAATCTGCGACGAAGCCTTGTCAACATTTGTCGTACTCGCCTTAGTCGATCTTGGTGTAGAACCATAGAGACGTGAAGTCTTCGACAATGTCAAATAGAATTTTCCTGAAATCAATACTTAGAAAACAATATTAGATAGAAATAGCCCCCGAGCGAGCGATCAAAGGGTGACATGTTATAATATGTATGAAAAACTGAAAATAAATTAAATTTACAAACCAATGTTTTGTATATGAGTGTCTTCTCTTTTACCGACTTCGATCAGTCAGTTTGTTGAGTCATACACTCTCCCTAGCCCCCAAGCCTTGTCGTCGGAGAATCGTTCTCAGAGGATAAGGCTCTTGGACCCTTGACCTGCCTCGGTTGAAAAAAGCACTGACCCTAGCCCCCAGCCGTGAAGTTGAAAAACTCAATTTCCGATTACACGGCTTGGTTAATACGCACGGCGAGAACTCTTACATGACCAGATCTTACATGGTATTTTGTCTCTACA